TCAAGTTTCCCCTCAAGGTTTTTAAAACACGTCTACTAGGAAGAGGTTTCCACACCTTTAGAAAGAATGTTTCGTTCTTCTCTCCAACCGATGTGAAATCTTACAATAACCAAAACAAAAGAATCTTAGATAGATGAAAATACCGTTGCAAAGAATAAAATGATGGCTGGGATCTGCAGTATTTTCCTGATTTTCTTGTCCCGGTGCTCCGGTTTCGGAGCGATCGCCATCGGTCGATGGTCGAGCAGTGGCGTTGTTATCGCTCTCTTCTCCTCCATCGACATCGGCATCGTCGGCCTTGGAGGCAGAAGCTTTGTCCTGAGCTGACCAAGTGATATTAGCATCAAGGTATTTATGGTTGGAAGAACCCCATTCATCGCTAACAAGAGGCCTAAGATCTGTTGGCGTTGTTGGTTGTTCTCCATTTGGATTGGATTCATAAGTGGGAGAAGGAACATCGTCTTCTTTAAAGAGAACCCTCACTGAATTTTTCATATCCTTCTGCACTACTTTGCTCATCTCTCAGATCTTCCAAAAACCTTCCAATTTTAAATTTTTACATCAAAATGAAGGACTTGGATACATAAAAATGGAGTCTTTTCTAAGTGCAACGGTCATGTGGACTAGGTGACAATTTATTGACCAATAACTCCAAATATTTATCAGGTTTAGAATTAATTTATTATTGTTGTGGTTTAACTCACTTTTGAAGATAATGATAATTAAAAAAGACTTAAAAAAATAAAAAATAACCGACATGTATCAATAAGATGCACCTTTCTTTTTTATGGCTCAATCATCGAAACTCCATACTTAATCGTTCTTACTTGGAGCAATTTTATGTTGAAAATTTTATTATAAAACATATGAACGAGAACAAAACATGCTTGTGAAAATAACTTTTACTTTTAAGAAGCAAAGGTATGTCCTAGTAAGGTGTGGTTTGGGGACGAACTAAAGTGGGAGTTGGTGGGTAAGTGACACTTGAGTAAAGAAAGAGTATATGGATGTATGTGAATGAGGACAAAATATACCGAAAGGATTTGTGTTATTTGTGAGGATAGTTTTCACTCTTACTAAGTGAGAAGTAAGTAACGTAACTATATTGAGGGGAATGTTAGGGTCAACAAGTAACGAATACAAATTTTGAATCCTAGACTGAATCCTTACAAACGCTAACCCTCTCCGAACTCCGCCCAACCCCGCTCACTTTCTAAGCTGGAACATAGTAAGGATAAAAAAGAGGGGATAAACATCAAAATAAATGAACATAAAAAAAAGACTAAGAACGAATCTGGAAAAGTAACGGTAACATCCATAAATTAAATAGTACAATACATTTATGATTTAGAGGAAGGGATGCTCCCCGACAAATTTGTTTTTTTTTTTAAAAAGAAAAGTAAATGAAAGACAACTTCAAAGTCAAAAGTCAAAGTTTTTTTTTTTTTTTTTAATTTTGTTTTTCAGTTTCTTTGGAATTGGAATGAAAGATCCCATCAGTTGGAGAGAAGAAAAACAAATTTCTACATAATTGTGAGGTTGACATCGATATGTAACGGGTTAAAGCGAAGAATATTTGCTAGCAGTGAGTTTGGGTTGTTATAAATCTCCTCAACTATATCCCTTGCTCGAATCTTCGCGATCTCGTCGGCGACCTCGAGTTTTTTTTCCCTTAATTTTCTAACCTAAATAAAAAAAACGAAAAGACTTTGTAATTTTTTTTCTGCGAAACCATGAACTTATACTTCAATTTAAAATACTAAATAAAAATATCACTCACCTACTTCTAAATCATCTTCATAAAATATATCGATTGGAGAGGAGAACGAAACACCCTTTATAAGAGTGTGGAAACCTCTCCCTATAATACACATTTTAAAGCGTTGAGGGGAAGTCCAAAAGGGAAAGCTCAAAGAGGACAATATCGGCTAGTTGTGGCCTTGGGCCGCTCTCATATTTTTTTATAACTATCATTGATTCTCATTAAATCGTTAAAGTGACACATAGTAGATTCAAATTTCATAGCATAGAATACAAAAAGTATAATCAAGCAATGATGTCTTTTGACGGAACAATTCGCCATTGGTGAGAGGAAAAAAAATCGAAGAAAATTGTTGGAAGAAAAAAAAAACAGAAAGCGCAAGAAAATAACAGGAGGAAGAGAACGAAAGCTTTGAGATTTGTTGCTGAAAACACAGTACAAATGTTTCTTGATCAGGGAGATCGTAGCTTTGTTGTCCACATATAGCGTTGGTGGATTGCCTTCTCTTCTAATGAGTTTTTCCATCAGTCGCGCAAGCCAAACCCCCTGTGTGGCTGCTGTCGAAGTGGCGACGTACTCTGTTTCACAAGAAGACAAAGCAAGTACCTTCTGCTTAGTTGACTGTTAAATTGTGGAAGAAGAAAAAAAAAACAACTTTGAGATTTGTTGTTGCTGAAAATATGGTGCAAATGTTTGAGTTCTTCCATCAGCCGCACAAGCCAGACCCCTTGTGTGGCTGCTGTCGGAACGAAGATGTACTCTTCTTCGCAAGAAGACATAGCAACTACCTTCTGTTTAGTTGATTACCAGCAGATCGCGTCGCTTGAGAGGAAATAAATCATCCTGCTGGTGTTCTTACGATCATCAACGTCATCGGTCATGTCAGTATGACTGTAGCCAACCAGCTCAAGCTTCTTCTTTCCTCTCCCTGCACAGTATCCAAGGTAGTAGCTGAGCACGCCGAGATGGCTCATCTTGGACGGATTCCAACCTTTCCACCGACACGAATACCTCTTCGAAGTCCACTCCTTGCTTCTGACGTAGCCTTTTGCAGGTGCCCGCCAGAGTTGTCGCGGAGCTTCAAGCATGCAAGTCATTTCTCCTCAATGAGGAGGAGACGACCCTGCTTGTCGATAGCTGAAGCGGCATTCTTCTTCATTTGCTCAACGTCATTCACGTCAAGTAATGTTTCGATCAAAATTGCGACTTGCTCGAGTTGATGAGAGGAAATCCTTAAACAGAGAAAAAAGAATCGAAGAAAATTGTTGGAAAAAGAAATAAAAACAGAAAGCGCAAGATAACATGAGGAAAAAGAGAACGAAAGCTTTGAGATTTGGTTTAGGGTTTAGGGTTTATAAGAACCATATGTATTCAATTATTTAATTTAGTTTTGAAACATATCAATTCAATCACTATTAATAAATTATATTACACTTATAAATGAACACAACTCTCCATAATGATATGATATTGTGTACTTTAAATATAAGCTCTCATGGATTTGCTTTGCTTTAGTGTTGTAACGGCTCTAAATTTTACCTATTTAATCTAAGGTCATTACTATACTTTAGAATGCGGTATTTACCTTAAATGGGCTCTTATCATATATGTGACATATTTTAATAACAATCCTTATATTTAATACATAATTTAGGTTAGAATGCAAGACTAGAGAATAATTCAAATTTTAATATTATAATATAAATTTTCACATTAAGTAAATAAATAAATAATATATATATAAACATCGAACGTTATTCAGTTTTTTTAGCACGTGTTTCAAACGTCCCGAATTCGGGGTTTCTGAATTAGGGTTTTGATTTTAAGCGCTTTTTTATTGTTTTATATACTCCGTTCCTTCGACATTCTATTCTAAATCATCATTCCGGATCATTTCCCACAAAAATTTCAAAAAACATCGAATGTTACTCGATTTTTTCAGCACGTGCTTCAAACATCCCGGATTAGGTTTTCCAAATTAGGGTTTCGATTTTAAGCACTTTTTTTACTGTTTTATTTACTCGGTTTCTTCGACATTCTATTCTAAATCATCATGCCTAATCATTCCCCACAAAAATTTCGAAAAACATCGAACGTTACTCAAGTTTTTTAGCACGTGCTTCGAACGTCCCGGATTGGGGTTTTTGAATTAGGGTTTCGATTTTAAGCACTTTTTTATTGTTTTATACACTTCATTTCTTCGACATTCTATTCTAAATCATCATGTCTAATCATTTCCCACAAAAATTTCGAATATATATATATATATAAAATATATAAAAAGTTAGGCCGGACCGACGGTAGAGATGAAGATAGGGACTGAATTTTTCATTTTCGATACTATTTAGTTAAATAAAAAAAAATTCACTTTCACTCTTTCCCTTAATCATCCTCTCAAGACAACGAGACAACAATTAAATGGACATCTTTAGTTATAATCATATTTGTTAAAAATTGTGATTTTTTTCAATTTTATTCGTCCAAAAACGCTATTACAAATAAACGAGTAGATGATTCTTAAAAAAGATATAGTATTTAGTAATGGAATATTTTATACGGTAGACACGAGTTGAAGGCAGAAGACAAGTTATTCATAATATTTTGTACTGTAGATACGAGTTGAAGGCCGAAGACAAAAAATATTAATAGGAAATCATAATGGATGATAGGCCGTATGGCATATTCAAAGATGTTCATATTTTCTTTCACAACCTCTCAAGATGTTCGTATTCAAGATGACATATACACTCCTAAACACAAGTTGAGTGTTATTGACCTACACTCTCTATTTTCACTACTTAGAAGACAAAAGTGTTATTGACCTACACTCGTAAAGACAACTTGGATGTGATTAACATACACTCTCCAACTTGAGGGGGAGTGTTGTAGTTTAAATTTTCTAGTGGGTATTAGTTGCTCGCTTGTATCCTATCTAAAGGATATGAATATCAATGAGAACACGCTGTCGATTCCAATTCTATTTCTATTTTTCATTCTTAACATAATACGTAGACTATATTATAATTAATTAGTTATTATATTATATATTAGAGTGGAGAGTAACATGTTAGACAACTCTCCATGTATGATATTGTCCCGTTTGAGCATAAGCTTTCATGGCTTTGCTTTGGGTTTCCTCTAAATGCCTCGTACCCATGGAAATACTCAGTATTCCTCACTTATAAACCCTTTGCATAGCTCCCACACCCTTGTCACTCACTTGAAAATTCATGAGCAAATTGAGCTTCTTTTTGGCGTCATCTCCGCCAATTATTATGGTTTGTTTTTGTCCCATTACAATTCCTTTCAAACTCAGATGATATTGGGTTTGCTTTAGGGCTTCCTCAAAAGGTCTCATACCAATGAAAAAATATTTCTTTATATATATAAACCCATAAGTTAATGTGGGACTTTCATCATCCAACACAATGATATGATATTGCCTACTTTAAGTATAACCTCTAGTGGCTTTGCTTTGGCCTTCTCCAAAAGGCCTCATACCTTCTTGATTATAAACCCATCATTATTCCCTAAATTAGTCTGACTTTCATCCAATAACCTATTTGATGTTTTCTTTTACAGATATAGTTTTGCTTATTTTAATGTGGAACGAATCGATATCTATACTGCGAGACAAAAATGAAGACACGCCCTTACATATTATGGCTCGAAAGTCAACTTCAAAAGTCAAGATAAATCAATGGAAGACATTATATATCAAAGCACTAGTACGTATGAGCCATGCAGATAGTAGATATATTAACCAGTTCCAAAGATTAATAAATCAATCTGTTTTTTTTTTTTTCTTTTTTTTTTAAATTTTGATCCAGCTTTAGGATTCAAGAGTATATGCAAAAAAACAACTTAGGCAGAATCAAGCCCATCAAATGGTTGAACAGATGTGGCGTGCAGAAGATACGATGTTGACGTTCATCCTGTCTCCCACGAGCATCCTGCACGATGCTGCAAAAGTTGGAAATGCTGAATTTCTGAGACTGTTAATCGATTCAAACCCTGATTTTGGTTGGACTGTTGACCGAAATCAAAACAACATATTTCACATAGCAGATGAGAATAGACAAGAGAGTGTCTTTTGTTTAATGTATGAAATGGGCGAGTTGCTCGATCTATTGCCCTTCTATTTTGGTGAGGAAAATAACAGCTTGCTTGAACTAGCAGCAAATCTGCCCACCATCAGACTCATAGTCTCAATCTATATATCATATTTGTCTTTCGTTACTGTTACTAGGTATTTTATCCGGCTTTGACACAGCAAGGGCAGTCTCCATGGCTCGCCGATTGATTACTCTTCGACTCCACCCTTTTGGCCAATATATACAACCTCACCTTCCCCAACTTAATCGGTTTTCCCTTATCCAACATAGCCTCTTTCATTTTCTTCCCGATCTTCCCTTCATTCTCTACAGAAACCCTAACCTTAGATTCCTCATCAGCGTTCTCATCGAAAATATACAGAATCTTGAGAAGCTTATCGACCTTCTGTAGAGATTGACCTTCGAAATCTCGGCTGCACTGGCCTCTTCGCCAATCGAGTCGCCGCTGGCTCCTTTGCCCACTATGACGACTCTTCCGGCTTCAACAATGTCTTTGTCTCTTGCTCTAAGGGGTGTGGCTCCCTCTCCATCCATTGGACTTCACCACTTGCTATGACGCCAGCTTTGCCTACTACTCCTCTGTTGGCCTTCACTCTAGGCAATGGTGTTGTTGTGAATAGAATCACTATCTATGGATCTATCATTGTGGCTCTTCACCCACTTCTGATGATCTCTTTATTAATAAGTTAAAATATGTTCGAGATATTCTTACTTGTGCTCATTTGCTCGATAGCAAACTAGTCCACAGGGTGCATACCCCACTCCATCTCCCCCCCTCTCTTTCTTCGTCTAAAATACACTCAGAGCCCGCATTCTCAATTTCTACTCTCTTGTTCCTCTCTTCTTCATACTCACCATCGAACCCTCTCTCTCTCAATTCTCCTTCTTCCTCTCGGTTTCCCCCTTCTACTTCATGCGTTAGACATATGCTCGCTGGAGCCAAGGCAGCATCGCTACTGAGCAACGATCCCTCTGCAATTTTCAATGGCCAAGAAAATATTATGCGGCCTCCTTTGAACCATGTTGTTGACATCTTTACAAAAAGTGTTTCTCGACCTCTCTTTGAATTTTTCAGATCCAAGTTTCATGTTCGTTCAAATCCGATGCTCAACTTGCAGGGTGTAAGGATATTTAGTACTGAATTATAGTTTACCATTACGGCTTAACATAGGTATTTTTCATTTATTGTTTTTTCCATATGCTTGTAATTTATTTAATTATAAATAGATAACCATTTAGATCGGGTGGTTTTAGCCATTATTCTTTAGATGCTGGAATATAATTTCATTTGAATTATATGAGTTTATTATAGTGATTGAATACATATGTTTCAAAACTAAATTAAGTAATTGAAGGAAGTGGAGAAAATCTTAGAGCTTACAAAGAGGAGGAAGAACAACCTACGTGAATTGTTCACCGAAAACCACCAAGACTTAGTGAAAGAAGGAGAAAAATGGATGAAGAAAACAGCAAATTCGTGTATGTTGGTTGCAACTCTGATTGCTGCAATAGTTTTTGCTGCAATCTTCACCGTACCAGGCGGCAGCAACAACAACCACGACGTCCACACAGGCTCTCCTCTCTTTCTTCACCACAAATGGTTCACAGTGTTTGTGATATCAGATGCAACAGCTTTGATATCATCTTCAACATCAATACTATTGTTCTTGTCGATCATCACCTCACGTTGTGCCGAAGAAGAATTCCTAATCAGGTTGCCATTAAAGTTGGTGTTCGGTCTTGGAACACTGTTACTCTCAGTAATAAGCATGGTACTAGCTTTCACTGCCACGTTTTTTCTGTTCTATGGCAAAGATGCAGCTTGGGTTCCATTGCTTGTTGCTTTAATAGCTATTGTTCCAGTTTACTTGTTTAGTTTGCTACAGCTTAGCCTTTGGAGTGATGCATTCGCAGCGTTAACCGCCTCTTTGTGCTTCTTATCCAGGAATTACAAGTCCAGATCATCTTATCGAATGTATTTGTCCTCTGCAGACAAAAATGTATGAGTTAAGATGCCATTGTGTATTAAAATCATGTATCCTTTGGAGTTGTGTTTTGTATCCATTTCCTACCATAAAACTTGACATGCATAATCCATATTTTATCGTTTTCGGATTTTTATTTGATGGCACTTTTTATCGTATGGTAAGGTGTTAACTGTAACAATAAGTTGATATTGTCATTTCTCGGAGACTTTCATACCCTTACTGATAAGAAATAGAAATAGAAAATAGAATTGGAAAGGTGTATATTATAATTGATATTGATATCCTTTAAATATGATACAAGAAGTACAAATGAGGAAAATATAAAATAATTAAATATTGAGAATAAAATAAAATATATTGTAAATCAAATCATAAATAAAACATATAATATCGAAGATATATTCCATAATTAAATATATTCTTCAATATCTCAACACTTACAAGAAATGTTTTGTTCTTCTTCTAACTGATGTGTGATCTCACAGTCCACCCCTTCCCACCCTTCGAGACCTAGTGTCCTTATACAATGTGGCAGTGTAGGTCTTGGGCTGAAGCTTGAATAGTTGCACTTATGTTTAAGTTGTAGCTCTTAGGGTTAGATCGGGGCATTTTTGTTATTTAGTTTTCGCTATTTTCTTGATGGTTATTGTTATTTGAAATAGATTTTACGAACATTTAAGTTCATGACATCGTTTATGAAATATTTTAAATGAATTTTTCGCTTATTAGATATGTCATGCATGTAGAGGTCATTTTGTTTTTACTAGGAAAAATAGAGTCATTACATAAAATATTTTCATTCTAAGTACAAGTCACACCGCTATACCTATAATTAAACTCTTATCCACTATAAGATAAGTTGTGTTCATAAATATAATCATTATAAGTAGATATTTCACGGGTTATGCATAATTACTATTGAGTCAAAAGTCTATTTTACTCTTAGATCTTACACATTAAGTATCACTGATCTTCTAATAAATAATTTATTTATAATACAACAATAAACTAAATCAAGTCTTCAAAATGATAAACATATTAAATCAACTACAAAACATTCTTATTTGCACGGGTCCATAACTCACTCAAGATTAGGATTGAGTCGCATATGATAATTAAACTTCTATATTTATGAATAAAAATTAAATATTTTATGGTTCACTCGTATATCGTGATATTCTCACTCACATGTATCTACATGAATGATTCGATCAAATCATTTGTAACCATTACAATGTGGGTCCTACAAAAATAAGATATTTATTTTTACCTATATACTATAGAATTTTCGACGCTCTTAATAAGCTGTATTTGAAGGCTATTATCATTCTCCATTCCAAAGCAAAGGTGGTGCAGTTGACTTCAATGCGTCAACCCCTCACGACGCCTAGGCCTTTTAGTGGTCGGAGTCGATTACGAGCAGTGATGCAGATGCTAAAAGGACTGCAATGACATCGACTATGAAACAACAACTTAGACGCACGTGGGTTGCCTGTGCAAGGGGATCAATGACCATTAAACTCTAACAAAAACTACAACTGAACTTGACCGTTTTAAACTCATGCACACAAGAAATTGTAACGACCCATGTTTAGGATTCAAAATTTGGATTGACCTCGACATTCTCTTATATTTCTTACAACATGGTCATATTGTCTACTTCTCACTTTATGAGAGTGAAGACTATTCCTATAGACCGACACGAGAGCTTCCGACATGCTTTGTTCTCACTCACGATGCATCCTAAGAAAACTCTTGGGAGGTCACTCAACATAGAATTGCTCCAAGTAAAACACGTTTAATCATGAAGTTCCTATGATTGAGCCACATAAAAGAAAAGTACATTAAGACCACATCTAAATGAAAGCGATTTTGAGAATAGGATGACTGAGAAAAATGAAAGTCATCCTATGCTTGTCTATGAAGTTCTTACGAAATAGCTGCCGAAAAAAAAAAATGCACCTTATTGGTATAGGTCATAGTTTTTATAAAAACTCAAACCTACCGTTACCAGATATTGTCTATTTTGACCTCTTACGTATCGTCGTTAGCCTCACGATTTTAAAAAGTGTCAGTTAGTCGGGTGTCATATTTCACAATTATCCACAAATGTTGTATTAAAAAATATTATTAAATTGTTTTAATATAATATTGACCCCTCAAAATTGCCTACAATATAGGGTCTTAAAAAAATCAGAAAAAGACAAAGTTGAAACTCGCGCTCTTAAAGTATTATTTGTAAACACATGTGACTGTGATGTTCATTATTTTAATTATTATTTATTTTGCATTGAAGTGGTATATATCATTTTTGTATTTTATTTTCTGACAAAAATGAGCCAATGACAGCTGTAATTCGGGAGGTCAATCTAATACACATCAGATCTTGAATACACGTTGACTTCAACGTTCACATTTCTCTGTCTTCCACGTCATTTTTAATTTAAATTACTGATTTACTCAACTTTTAAATAAACTCCCAATTTTAATCTTAGCTCACTTTCAATTTTTATTCTAAATATTGATTAATAATAATTAAAACACATTTTTATAATAATTTTAAAGACTAAATTTTAGAATGTGTACGCTTGAGTTGAGTTAGGTTGGAAAAACTTTAGGATCAATCTCGAGTTGGTTGGGTTGGTAATACGAGTAACTGGAACAAAATTTACCGTCCAACCCAGAATTTGGTTGGGTTTGGTTATCGGGTTGTTCTTTTTAATTATTTTTTTAAAAAAAAATCATATTTATCTATAATATATGTTATATTAATAACGAAAATCTCGTAAATTTTAAATATAATACAACACTGACATTAAATGTTTATAATCATTTTTTTAAAAGTAAAGTAGAGTTGGGTTGTGTTGTAACCCTATTTTCGGATTAATCGAGTTGACTCGACTAGAAAAATATCAACCCGCAAACTGAATTGAATTTTCACGTTTCTAAAAATTCAACTGAACTTAGAAAAAAAAAATTAGCCTAATTTAACTTTTATTGTAACAACCTAAGCCCACTACTATATATTGTCATCTTTAACCTTTCATTTTTGGATTTTCTCTTACGGTTTTAAAACGCATCTATTAGGGAGAGATTTTCACTCTTATAAAGAATGTTTGATTCTCCTCCCCAACCAATGTAGGATCTCGGGTGGATTGGGGGGCTCTACATTGATTGGAGAAGGGAACAAGTGCGAGCTAGAACGCTGGGCTCCAAGAGGGGGGATGGATGGATTGTGAGATCCTATATCGGCTGAGGAGAAGAACAAAATAATAATTTATAAATGTGTGAATAACTCTCCCTAGCAGACACGTTTTAAAAACGTTAGAAAAAAAATTCGAAAGGAAAAACCCAAAGATAACAATATCTACTACTAGTGAGTTTGGATTATTACATTCATAGTTTGTATCGGGTAGTTCACATTGATCGGAATGTCCACGAATGTGAAAACTACTAAAGTAGATCTTAATTAATGTACAATTAACATGTCAAGTATAGTTAAATTTGACCAAGTAAATGTATTTAAACAATAATAATAAAAAAAAAAAAACATGCATAAAATTATTAGTATATGGTCGGCAGACCACTCGCGATTATCCCGTAGTCAAAAGGGTTCATTAAGATTCAATCGCTCATCATTCCAAAGCAAAGATGAAACCCTTTACACGCAGGCCTTCTACTTCTTCCTCCACTAAATCAACCCCTGGCCGTCACGACGGCAAGGCTGTTCGGTGGTCGGAGCCGGTCACCGGCGTTGACTCTGCTGCAGTAAAGGACCACAATGGCGTCAACAACGATGAAGACGAAGACTTTGAGGTCGGTGAAGATGAGTCACCGGCGCGTGGGGATGAAGAAAATCCGCTACCGCTTGAGATTTACGGCAAACCGTTAGATCCCAAGACTAAAGATCTGAGCTGGCCTATGTCCAAATTTCACAGCTTCAGATTTTCCAGTAAGTTTTTACTCTTCCCATTTTAACCTCTAATTTACTCTAATTTACCTTTTAGTCCTTAATTTAGGATCTATAAATAAATAAATAAATAAATAAATAAATAAATAAATAATAATAATAATAAATTTATTTTGTCCCTGCCCATGCCCCTAGTACGTGTACCAATAAATGTCATTTCTGATATTAGGTAGGTATTAAAATCAATAATATCAATAAAATTTATTCAATTTTGGGTATTGTTTTTATTTTTGTTTCTTATTTTAAAATATAATCATTTAAGATATTTATTTTTTATATTATCAATTATTTATTCATATATATGTTGATATTGAAATGTATTGATCTACCTAGACTAGTCAACTCATGACCTTACTTGATTGGTCACGATATAAAAAGTTTATCTACTTTTATTTATTTATTTATTTATATATATATATATATATATATATATTTTAAACATTAATTCAATTTTTGAAAACTAAAACAAATTATATATATATTTTTGAATTAGTCTTTTAATAGGTGAAAAATAAGTATAATTTTCAAAAAAATATTTGATTTATTTATCATATTTACTGTCTTATTTACCTCAAATGTCTTCAATAAAAAAAATAAAATAATAATAGCTTAAGATAGTGAATATTTGCAAGAAGAGGGTTAGAATGATGTTAATGGACTCGGATGGTCAAAAATTTATACGATCTCTAGGAAAGAAGCCAACATCATATATGAAGCGTAAAGGAGTTACTCCACTTCAAAGAGAGTAGTTGATTAGAACATAGATGATTTAGATGGGCCACATGAGAAGAAGAAGAGGCATAAGAGGGATTACTCGTGGTCAAATTTGCGTAGTTGGCCAATTGGACGTTTTCAAAAGTATACTCCAAAGACAAGTAATGAAATAAGTTGTGTTTATGGGTATAATAATTACATGCAAGTCGATCATTTACAAGTTATTTGTAGGTACAATTGAATTAAAAGTCTATTTTATCCCTATAATTATATGTAAGGTGTCATTCATGTTTGATTAACAATATGTTTATGATCCTAGTATAAATTAAGTCTCTCAATGTAGTAAGAAGGTGAACACCCATGGTTCTAGTTTTAAAATAAGTAAGGAAACTACTCATCTACCTTTCTACCCTCCCTAGAAGTGAATTTCATCTCGTGAAATTATGTTATGAAATGATAGGCTTACTGAATCAGCTACAAAAGCTAATCCCACTCATGCAAATCAAAAAACAAAACCCAACATGCAGAAGTTCGTAACTTACTAAAATTAAGATCCAAATTTAGATTTATAAAGAAATTGTTATCAAGATAAGACACTCAACCTTATCGGTTTAGTATGGATCTTTTAGACTATTTCTTAAACATGATCGTCTTATATGTCAACAAAAGATTATTCAATGAATCATGAGACGCCTAGTTCATCCTTCCGTCAATATAATTTGAGAAAGGAAAAAGAACCCTTAAATCGTCCTCATATAATACCTCGTTAAAATTTAATTAGTGATAACTTGGATTCAATGTTCAAACTCTTTAACTTGTTACACTTTGACCCGTTACACTTTTCAGAGAGTAGAAGAATGGACAATCGTCCACTGCGTGTTCAACTATACCAAGCTGCACAAAATGGCGACTGGAAGACTGCTCAGTACATGAATATTCTGTATCCAGGAGTCCTGACTATGGTCATAAGCGACCGATGCGAAACTGTTCTTCACATAGCAACTCGAGCCAAGAAGGCTTTTTTTGTGAAGGAGTTGGTGAACTTCCTCGACCGACATGACTTGGGCTTGAAAAACAAATATGGAAACACAGCCCTTTGCATCGCTGCAGCCTCAGGCGCAGTCGATATCGCCAAGCTAATGGTTTCCAAGTTTGAAGCTTTGCCGCTCATTCGTGGGTCCGGAAATTCAACCCCAGTTTTGATCGCCGCTAGATACAAACACAAGCACATGGTCTCCTATCTCCTCTCCAAGACCCCCGTCTATGGCTCCGCAATTCAAGAGCAAATGGAGCTTCTCATTGGCGCCATCTCGGCAGATTATTATGGTTTGTTTTAAATTTTTGTTAAGAATCACGACTCTCTATGGTATGATATTGTCCACTTTGAACATGAGCTTTTATGACTTTGCTTTGGGCTTCTCCAAAAGACCTCATACCAATAGAGGGAGTATTATTTGATTAACAAAGTACGTCTTTCATTAATCGAGACTCGACTCTTTTTTTCTTTTGGAGTCCTTTGCTCGAAATTTGAGGAGATTCTATTGGCATGGCTAAGTTTAGGGCATGACTCTGATACCATGTTAGAAATCACGACTCTCCACAATGGTATGATATTGTCCACTTCGAGTATAAGCTCTCATGGCTTTGCTTTGGGTTTCCCCAAAAGGGCTCATATCAATGGAGAGAGTATTCTTTGATTATACTTTCATCCAACAATGATATTGTCCACCTTTGAGTATAAGCTCGGGTGACTTTGCTTTTGGGCTTCCCAAAAGGCATCATACCAATGGAAATGTATTCTAAATCCATGATCATTTTAAATTAGCCAACGTGGGACAATCTTTAACAACTTCATGATTGCTTTCTTCTACAGATATAGCTTTGCTTATTTTAAAGTGGAACCCGTTGTTAGTTCTCGAGCGAGACTTCAATGACGATACGCCCTTGCATATCATGGCTCGTAGGTCGAATGCAATTGGTAAGAAAAACAAACCAACCAAGTGGCAATCATACATTATTGATTGTGAAGAACAAACATCTAATCTCTTAGTCAAAGGTATATATTTTAATCGCTTGTGTTTTTTTTTTTTTTTAGCTATTCGTTTTTTAATTTAATCTATCTTTAGGAATCAAGCGTATGCACAAACATAAACTCATGCAGATTCAAGCTCATCAAATGGTTGAATTGATGTGGAGTGTTGTTTTGGATGAGATTCCAGAAGATGAGATATTGCAGTTCATCATGTTTCCCACGAGCATCTTGCACGATGCTGCTAGAGTTGGGAATGTTGAATTTTTGAGATTGATAATCAATTCATACCCTGATCTTGCTTGGAAAGTTGATAGCGATCGAAAGAGTATATTTCATGTAGCGGTTGAAAATCGACAAGAGAGTGTTTTTAGTTTAATTTATGAAATGGGTGAGTTCTTGGATTACTTACCATTCTATTTTGATGAGGAAAATATCAGCTTGCTTGAACTAGCGGCGAAAAAGGCGGATCTAAATCATCTCAATCGAGTGTCGGGAGCTGCCTTTCAAATGCATAAAGAGCTTCTGTGGTTTAAGGTATCGTGAGTTTATAAGTTATGAATGTCATTTCTGTGTTGGTTAAGGCTTTGTGGGAAACCAAAAACAAAATCATGTGAGTTTACTATACACACTCTTATAAATAATATTTCGTTATCCTCTCCCACCGATGTGGGATCTCACAACAACCCTCCTTCCGGGCCCAACGCCCTCACTGACACACTGCTCGATATCTAACTTTGACACCATTTGTAACGGCCTAAACCTACCACTAGCAGATATTGTCCTCTTTGAACTTCCCTTTTCGAACTTCCCCTCAAGGTTTTTAGAACACATCTCCTAGAGAGAGGTTTTCACACTCTTCTAAAAAAATGTTTCATTCTTCTCCCCAACCGATGTGAGATCTCACAATCCACCTTCCTTCGGGGCCCAGCGTTCTCACTGGCACTCGTTCCCTTCTCCAATCGATGTAGGACCTCCCAATCCACCTCCTTCAGAGCCCAGCATCCTTGCTGGCACACCACCTCATGTCCATCCCCTTCAGGGTTCAACCTCCTTGCAATGTTAGGTTAGCAGAAATCTAGCATGTGTTTCTACCAACGGTGAGTTGGAGCTATTTCAATTACACTCAAAATGAATAATATCATATCATTATTGGAAGTTCATAATTCCTAACAAGTAGCTTTTCAAAATGGTTAGTAGTGATTCAATACATATGTTTCTAAACTAAACTATGCAATTGAAGGAAGTGGAGAAGATCGTAGAGCTTACAATGAGGAGAAAGAAAGGAAAGCGAAACCCACGTGAATTATTCACCAAAGAACACCGAAACTTAGTGGAAGAAGGAGAAAAATGGATGAAGAAAACAGCAAATTCATGCATGTTGGTTGCAACTCTAATTGCCACCGTTGTTTTTGCTGCAATTTTCACCGTACCAGGCGGCAACAACAACAACCACGACATCAACACCGGCTCTCCTCTCTTTCTCCGCCACAAATGGTTCACAGTGTTCGTGATATCAGATGCAACAGCTTTGATATCATCTTCAACATCAATACTATTGTTTTTGTCGATCCTCACGTCGCGTTGTGCCGAAGAAGACTTCCTAATTTGGTTGCCATTAAAGTTGGTGTGCGGACTTGGAACACTGTTCTTGTCAGTACTGAGCATGGTGCTAGCTTTCAGTGCTACGTTCTTCCTGTTCTATGGGAAAGACACGGATTGGGTTCCTTTGCTTGTTGCTGGGATGGCGATTGTTCCAGTTTATTGTTTTGGTGTGCTACAGTTTAGGCTTTGGGCTGATGCGTTAGCAGCTTTGCAGGCTTCTTATTACTTGTATTTCAAGAATTGGAAGTTCATATTGTTCTGATCTCTCAATCATTTGTTCTTTCCGTAAAATCTTCCCATAAAGGTGGAACTTGAGTATTTATATGAAAACCCTTTTAGCGTTTTTGTGTTCTCTTTGCAAATTAGGTTAAAGAGTGAACAAAACCGAATCGAATAGAGGTCGATTTCCTTTCTCCCACCTTTGTGGTTTGATATGTTATTGTGATATCCCATATTGGTTGGGGAAGAGAACGAAACACTCTTTATAATGGTATGGAAACTTTTCCGAGACGTTTTAAAGATTTTGAGAAGAAGCCGGAAGGGAAAACCCAAATAAGACAATATCTGGTAGCGGTGGGCTAAAGGGTGTAGAAAGTCCAAATGGGATAATATCTGCTAGTGGTCGGGCAAACCCAAATGGGACAATATCGACTAGTGGTCAGACAAACCCAAATGAGACAATATCTGCTAGTGGTCGAGCAAACACAAATAGGATAATATCTACTAGTGGGGGGTCTGAGCTGTTATATTTCCCTAGCAGACCCGTTTTAAAGCTTGAGTAAAAGCCCAAAGAGGACTGAGCTTTTATATTTATGTTAACTCAAATTTGTCTCGTACTATATCTTTTTCTATTAACTTGGTGTCAGAAGAGTACATCGATTGAAGAGGAGAACAAAATATTGTTTCTTTTCTATAATATACAAGGTAAACGCGGAAGGGAAAGCCCAAAAAAGACAATATTTGCTATGGGTGGACTTGCTGTTACAAATAGTTTCAGAACCAGATAATGAGCGGTGTGCCAACGAAGACGTTGGACCCTTGAGAGAGGTGAATTGTGAGACCTCAAATTGATTGAAGAAGAAAACGATAAACATTTCTTATAAGAGTAGAAACCTCTACATAACAAACGCGTTTTAAAATTATGAGACTGATGACGACAAGTAACAGGCCAATAGGTAACCTTAGAATTACACATCAAACCTCATAGGAATTGAATTTTCGAGTTATTTTAAATAAATCTTACTTATGTTCACAAATAATAACTAGTAGAATTCAAATATCATATCATCAAAAGTAATAAACGTTAAATCATCTTAATTTTTCATAATAATTTGGAAGGTAAAATATGTTTGTTGGGTAAAAATGTCAACTCAGCTCATCCAATCAAATTTTAAATTTTAAAAAAATTTAAACTTTATTCGAGTTGGATGTTACCCTACCAAAAATGCTTTCTTTTCGGATCCCAAATTCGAATCAGAAACGTAGACGGCTCTACAGAAATCCCGGGAGGAAACACAACGTTGACTCCACACAACGGACGGCTCAGATCGAATCATTTCTTACGGTTGTTGAATTGGGTTTGCCTCATTTGTTTCTCCTTCGTTTATAAAGAGGTAGGGAGAGAAATTTGCGTGCCAACTCCCCAATTTTCTCCACCGTTTGAAATCCTTCGCTGTTGGTGCGTTTTCTCTTCGTTTGATTACAGATTTTTGTGCCATGATCCTTTTAGTTTTTGGGTTTTCATTTTTTGACTCCATTGTTTGCTTCATCGACAATTTGGTAACTGGGTTTTGTTTGTTCTTTTCATAATGTGATCATGATCTTGATGGGTTGTTCTGCTGATCATGTTTCCCTTTTGATCTTTAAGTTTTTGGATGCTTACGGGTCTGTAATCCCATTTGATCGTATGATATTTAGGGTTTGTTCTTTCTTTTGTCCTGCAATTTGGGGAAGTTTGAAATGTTGTGTTTCATTTTCTTGGATTGAATGATTATGTAGGAAATCTCATTGTTCATGATTTCTAAATTGGATCATCTCTTTAAACTTGTAGGTTACCAATGGCGTTGCCCCACTTCAAAGCGGCTTTCTTATGTTTGTTCTTGTTGGTTTCATTTAATATTGTATCATCTGCATCTGGGTTGCTTAGAGTTGGACTGAAGAAGATTAAATTAGACTCAAAAAGCCAGCTAGCAGCCCGGCTTCAGTCCAAGGATCCAGAGATTTTGAAAGCTACTTTCAGAAAGTCCAATAGTAATCTTGGACAATCTTCTGATACTGATATTGTTGTGTTAAAGAACTACATGGATGCTCAGTACTATGGTGAGATTGCCATTGGTACACCCCCACAAAAGTTCACTGTGATTTTCGACACCGGCAGCTCGAATCTATGGGTGCCTTCTGCAAAATGCTTGTTTTCTGTAAGGTTCTATCATGTTGATTATAACAGAAAGTAAATCATTCAAGTAGAAATGATATTTTTTGGAGTATACTATGATTATAGGCCACATACTCTCACATTTCTTTGTATGTTTTTGTGTAGTTGGCTTGTCATTTCCATGCCAAATACAAGTCGAGCCACTCTAGTTCATACAAGAAAAACGGTACTTCCCGATTTCCATAAGTCGGACTGAATTGTAATTATTAGTACTTATTTTGATGTGGGGATGTTTGTAGATTGTACTTGTGTGACGTGATATAGCAATTATACAATTGCAGTCCAAAATAATTCGGTTTATCGACTTTGTGCAGGGACATCTGCTTCGATACGGTATGGCACTGGAGCGGTCTCTGGTTTCTTTAGTAATGACAATGTCCGAGTTGGAGATCTAGTGGTGAAGAATCAGGTAACTTTTTGCATTAACTATTTTTCTATCGAATTAAATCGTTGGAATGTCGAGAATTAAATCGTTGGAATTTCGATGGTTCGATACTTATAGCTATTGTCTCGTTTAGGATTTCATTGAGGCAACCAGAGAACCAAGTCTTACGTTTCTTGTGGCCAAGTTTGACGGGTTGTTGGGACTTGGTTTTCAAGAGATCTCTGTTGGTAATGCTGTCCCAGTATGGTAGGACATTTTCATCCAATATTACTGATTATTGTTTAAGATTTCTTGGCTTGTAGAGGCTCGTATGAGGCGTTTGTAATTTTCTTCTCAGGTATAACATGGTTGATCAAGATCTTGTTAAGGAACCAGTCTTTTCGTTTTGGCTCAATCGCAACGTTGAGGAGGAAGGTGGTGAAATTGTGTTTGGTGGAGTCGACCCAAAGCACTATAAGGGCGAGCATACTTACGTTCCTGTCACACAGAAAGGTTATTGGCAGGTTGGTTGCCATGCCTTCATCTCGTATCTGCCCCGTTTATATCGTTCTTACTCACCATGTTTAAATTGTTCTGATTTGTAGTTTGACATGGGCGATGTTCTCATAGACGGTGAACCTACTGGTATGCTTCCATAAATCACATATTAATTATAATGTATCTGAAAAACTCGAATCTAAAATGATTTAGGCATGAATGAAGTTTTATTTTTTAATTCTTATATGGGGATTGAGTTTTACATTTACGTGCTTCTAATTAAAGAAAATTGTTATTTCAGGATATTGTGGTGGTGGTTGTTCAGCCATAGCTGATTCTGGAACTTCACTGTTGGCTGGTCCAACTGTGAGTACATAAACTTAACCTTTTCCTTCCTTTTCACCTGTAACTTCACTGGCTTCACATATGTTACCATGTTGCATAGTACTTTTTGAATCAATAAGTTGGAACTTTTCTTTGTTTCTTTGAAATGTGTAAGATCCCACATCAGTGGTAGAGGGGAACGAAACATTTCTTATAAGAGTGTGAAAACCTCCTCTCCCTAACAGACGTATTTTAAAACGTGAGGCTGACGACAATACGTAACAAGTCAAAGCAAACAATATCTGCTAGTGGTGGACTTGGACTTTTACAAATGATATTAGAGCTAGACACAAGGGGGTGTGTCAGCGAGGATGCTGGACCCCAAGGGGGTGTGTCAGCGAGGACGTTGGATCCCAAGGGGGTGGTGGTGGGTCAGCGAGGACGTTGGATCCCAAGGGGGTGGTGGTGGGTCAGCGAGGACGCTAGACCCCTAGGGTTGACGATGTGAAAACCTAACGGTGGTTGGAAAGGAGAATGAAACATTTCTTATAAGAGTGTGGAAACCTAACGGTGGACTTGGGCTGTTACAAATAGCATCAAAGATAGACACCAGGCTGTGTGCTAGCGAGGACGCTGGCCCCCAAAGGGGTGGATTATGAAATCTCATATCGGTTGGAGGGGGGTACGAAACATTTCTTTGAAGAGTGTGGAAACCTCTCCCTAACAAATGCGTTTTAAAACTGTGGTTGACGATGGTATGTAACAGGCCAAAGCGGATAATATCTGATAGCTGTGGATGGACTTGAGCGGTTACAAAATGTCTCAAGCATATGGAAGCTTGTTAACCTAAGATTTTGGGCTTTAACTTGGAGCGTGTGTGTAAATATATATATAATTCACTTCTTAGCCTTACGATTAAGTAGAACCGCTTTGACTTTGTCTTTTAAGTTGGGTCGAATAGCTACTTACTACAATGTTTGTCTATTTCTTATAGCCCATTATAACCATGATCAACCATGCCATTGGAGCTAAAGGAGTCATTAGTCAGGAATGCAAGGCAGTTGTTGCACAGTATGGGCAAACCATTATGGATTTGCTTTCATCCGAGGCAAGTTACTGTTATCCTTTTTTAACTCCCTGATTCTTAACATTATGATTTCTTTATAGACTCTGCTTAAGAGACCCAATATTTAAACCTTCTATACATTATTGACCTCTTGCTTTTTCGCTATCTTCAACAGGCAGATCCGAAGAAGATCTGTTCTCAAATTAAGTTGTGTACTTTCGATGGGGCCCGAGGAGTGAGGTGAATCCTTTTTTTTGGTACCACAATAGTCCTGCTATATGAAATCATCCTCACTAATTTACTTGGTGAATCGTTGATCCGTGAAATTATGTTGTTCGTGTAGCATGGGGATTGCGAGTGTGGTGGATGAGAAGGCTGGCAAATCATCTGATGGTCTACGCGATGCCATGTGCCCTGCATGTGAGATGATGGTCGTCTGGATGCAAAATCAACTTCGTCAGAATCAAACTAAAGAACGAATAATGAACTACATCAACGAGGTGAAAAAATCTCTTACTTGAAGAATGTTCCAGGTTCTTTAGAATATTTGTGTGATATCCCACATCGGTTGGAGAGAGGAACAAAGCATTGCTTATTATAAGGGTGTGGAAACCTCTCCGTATCGGACTGTTACAAATGGTATCAGAGTCAGACACCGGACGGTGTGCCAACGAGGACACTGGGCCCCCGAGAGAATGGATTGTGACATCCCACATTGGTCGGAGAGGGGAACGAAGCATTGCTTATAAGGGTGTGGAAACCTCTCCCTAACAGACATGTTTTAAAACTGTGAGGTTGACGGTGATACGTAACGGGTCAAAATAGACCATATCTGCCAGCGGTAGGCTTGGATTGTTATAATTTGGTTCTTGATGACTGAACTAGTTAACTCTTCTTGCAGCTATGTGATCATATGCCTAGTCCAATGGGACAATCTGCCGTTGACTGTGGAAGCCTTTCTTCCATGCCTATTGTTTCCTTCACCATTGGTGACAAAGTTTTTGACCTTACCCCACAAGAGGTAAAATACTTGTTTCTTTGATATTACACTTTTTTTTTACCAACCTTCTCTAACACGGTGAGCAATGTGAACAGTACGTCCTCAAGGTGGGCGAAGGTCGTGCAGCTCAGTGCATCAGTGGATTTACTGCGTTAGATGTTCCTCCTCCTCGTGGACCCCTCTGGTATAAGTTTTACCATTCATTTTGCTGTCAAAATCATTCAAAATAACCATTACCTTTCATTAAGAACCTGTTTTTGTTGGCCACAGGATCCTGGGAGATGTCTTCATGGGTCGATACCACACAGTGTTCGATTTTGGCAAGCTGAGAGTCGGGTTTGCAGAGGCAGCATGAAGAAAGAAACTTCTTGTTTGGTGGCTTTGTTTGGTATGCCTTTAAAGCTTATTATGCATATGAGCCATTTAAGTTGAAGTTTATGAACATATGGAATGTTAAGAAGGGAAACCCCCAAATTTGTAAATGCTTGCTACTGTGTCCTCTTTTATTGATACAGCTTGTACAGTAGCTTGAGTATCTCTGCTGATTTATATACTAACAGAAGCTGATATATATTTGGATATAAGTTGTGTTATCTCGATTCATAAAACAACCTTGAAAAACACAAACTTAGAAAAATTTGCTTCCAAAATCTCCCAGAAAATGAAGCTGCTTGAACAATCTTGCTGCATTTTTCTGTTCTTGAGCATGTTGGGATGGTTGTAACATGTTCATCACCAAGGACATTCCCGTGGTTGCTAAATATAGCAATGTTGATGACATTTAGCACGGTCCCAACAATGAACTCTCACCTATTGATGTGTAACATTCTAGCCTCGCTGCTAGTAGATATTGTCCGTTTAGGCCCATCCCAACAATGCTGAAATTCAAGCTCACCGCTAGAGATATTGTTCGTTTAGGACCGTTATGTATCACTTCTAGCTTCACGGCTTTAAAACACGTATGTTAGAAAGAGGTTGCCACACCATCGTAAGGAATGCTCCTAGGGTGAGGAGAGGTTTCCACACTTTTACGAGGAAATCTCTTCAATGAATGTGGGATCTCACAATCCATTGTCTTTAGGGGCACAACATTCTTGCTGGCACACAGTCTGGTGTATGGCTCTGATACCATTGGTAACAGTTCAAGCCTATTGCCAGTAGATGCCCGTTTTGGCTTATAGACTGATTGTCGTCAATCTCATTGTTTTAAAATATGTCTAGGTTTACACATTATGACTTTTTGCTTTATGAGAAGCATCAATTCCTTAATCGAAAAGGCAAACATGGAATATTTAAAGTCTCTAAATGATAATCAAGAATATCAATGGTCAATTTTACGCTCTACAGTTTTCCCTTTTTTTTTTTTTTCCACGAATCACATTCCAATTCATCCTCCGTTCTTTTGTTCATTTACAAACAAAGTTTTAAGATATTTTCAAAATATTTGAGTTTTGTGTCTAATAAGATATTGATCATCTAAGCAGCTAATAAGTTCGTAAAGAATAAGTCAATAACCGGTTAAATGCATTGTTGAAACTCGTCAACTTCATACTTTTCAAGGCGGGTAATGTAAACGGGTTCAATGCAAGATTACATTTTTATGATCAAGGAAGTTCTGAGAAAAATGTTGTGGACAGGACAACATTGTAAACATGAAGAACAATTATGTGGGCTTGTAGTATTTTGTAGGAACAAATGGCATTTTAGTGACGGCACCATCGTAGGTCTTTCCTCTGATAACAATCTTCACTTTGGTGCCAGCCTTGTGTGATCCAGATTTCACATAACCCATAGCAATGTTCTTCTTCAGGCTTGGGCTAAATCCTCCACTCGTGATTTCCCCAATGTTTTTCCCTTCCTCGTTCTGAATCTCACTGTGGCTTCTTGCAGGAGGCCCCGACGAGACGAAACCGACACGCCTTACTGCTGGACCCTCTTCGAGTTGTTTCAGAATCACCTCGGCACCGAGAAAACCGCCTTCTGCTCTCCTTCTTTTTCCTATGGCCCATGTTAGCCCTGCCTCGACTGGCGTTGTGTGTTGTTCCATGTCATTGCCATATAAACACAGGCCTGCTTCGAGTCGAAGACTGTCTCGTGCACCTAGTCCTGTCAATCTCACCTTCCCTTCTGACTTCTCCAGGATTGCTTTGGCAAGATCCAGTGCGTGCTCTGATGGCACTGAGATTTCAAATCCATCTTCACCTGTGTACCTGAGTATTTCAGGAGTATAAGAAAGTGTAAGGTGTTCCATTTTTGATACCACTCGCAAAGTCGGAATGCCTTGAAACAAGATGATAATTGAGCTTGATATTGAAGCAAAACGATGAATAAATCGACTTGAACCAGTTTTCTCAAGCACAGTTGATAAATGATGTTATGATAAATCAACATGGCTCGTTCAGAGTGGAAAAAGAAATGCAGGCCTAAAGGAAGCATACCCTGTCCTGGTGAGGAAGCAATGAGCTCCATTGATATCCAATATGCGAAACTCGCCGAAGTAAAGCTTGCTCAGATCGTCTTTCGTCAAATGTTGTAGAACTGGTGCAGCAAGAGGGCCCTTGGTATACAATCAAATCAAGCAAACATGTAAAGAATAGAACAAAGCAATCGACCTGAACCAAATGGTTCGATGAGTTCAACAATTTAGTATAAACCTGGAGTGCTAGAAGAGATCTCTCATCATGAATATGCCACGAGACGTCTCCGCCTTTCGCCTTGAAGGCCTTCATATGCTCCTCGATGTGAGCTAAATCCTTGTCTCTGCACCCCGCATTCACAACCAAGTATAAGTGGTCATCGGTCACCTTGGTGATCACCGAATCGTCGATAGCTCCACCTTTTTCGTTGGTAAAGACAGTAAGTGTTCCAGTTCCAGGAGCAAGCCCAGCAACATCAGCAATAACAAGTGTTTCAAGGAAAGGGATAGAGTCCTTCCCCTTGAGGCTCAGTCCACACATATGAGAAACATCAAACAGTCCACCATTTTGCCTGCAGTTCACAGTTGAATCCATTATCGAATCCTTGTACTGAATAGGCATGCTCCACCCAGCAAATGGAACCATCTTTCCACCATGAGCAACATGGAAATCAAATAGAGCAGTTTTTTTTAGCTCAGACTCTGCAGCAAAGAATCGACGCCCCACGGATTTCTTATCAGCCTGAGCAAGACGGCGGGTTATCGATTGCCCCAGTTGCCACAGACCTCCCCTCATCTTGCTAGTCTATAAATTAAACCACAGCATGAACCCCTAATGAAGATAACTAAAAGCCTAAGAGTAGAAGCAAAAACGAATTAAGAACAAGAACAGTTCGATTTACAAGCTGCTAATGATATGCAAATTCCTCCAGATGAACAAAACTATTTAGCATAAGTCGTAGATCTTAAGCAGGTAGCATGAAGAACCCATATGGCACATTGCAGATGCAAAACATCAAGCGCATTAAATTTTGAATCACCGTCTGGAACAATTATAAACTGACCATCTAAAGAACAATCTAACAAGACAAGATTACAGACAGAATTCCAAGTTCCCTTTCGTGAACACCAAATTTCATCAAGCACATTTATGAATGCGATTCAAAATCGATTTCCAAGATCCCATCAAACAATCCCAAAAACTCACAAAACCAATCGAACAATCCCAAGACGAACAGAGAAGTTATGAGAAAAGATAAGAACACAGATGGGAAAACGCAATGTAAGCAGATAAAAAGACATGAAATCAAGAGGGAATCACTTACAGAAATGGATTATTTTCAAATTTAGCTCTTCAAGAAAACAAATCTGAGAGCCTACAAGAGCATTTGTGGATCAGTGTTGAGCTATCAGGAGGAGAGAAAGGCTTGAAGCTTTATATGTGGAACAAAAGAATGATAATCAAAAGAAAATGGATGGTGGTGGCACAGTCTCACACATACCCCAATCTCTTTAAACTCCCAGCCCATTCATCCGTTGCTTCGATCGTGTTTATACCCAAAATGTAAAACCAAATCCATCAACAGAGAATCTCCACCGCTTATGACAAAGTGGTGGGATCCTATGGCTGACCGACGGAGATCAGTTGAAAGTCTAGGATCGTTCCCATGGTGCTCCGTACAGGGTATCAGAATGCCTCACCAAAGTTCGGTGGGCGATCGCTTAAGAACTAGGAAATGGAAATGAAGATCAAGATCTTAACTTGGTTGTGTTTAGTATAATTTCCATTGGTATTGAAACATAATGCATTAATTAGGGTTTAGGGTGTTTTTAGGAATGGTGTGAATTAGCAAATTAAGCGGCCATGTGTTTTGGAGGCTAGGTGATCAGGGTATCTATGGCTCGTTTAGGTTTAAACGAGATGATCATACGTTAGGATATGTTACAGATATTTGATCTAGTTTTGAACGATTTTAGGTCTCTCTCAAATTTACGATATGCATATCTAACTTTTATTTGGAGTTATTTACTGAGTATTGGTAATATTCATCCTTTCAAAAAATTGTTTTTAGGTGTGACAGGAATGTTGTTGGTTGTGTCATTAGTTGTAATAGTCCAAGTCCACTGCTATTAGATATTGTCCGTTTTGGCTCGTTATGTATCATCGGCAGTCTCACGATTTTTAAAATGCATATACTATGGAGAAGGTCTAGTCGTATTCCAACCAGTGGCTCGCACTGTCCAGTGACTGGCTCTGATACCATTTGTAACGGCTCAAGCCCACTACTAGCAGATATTGTCTACTTTGGCCCGTGGTATCGGAATCAGGTTTTGAGCGGTGTGTCAGCGAGGACACTAGGCCCCAATAGGGATGTGGGTTGTGAGATCCAACATCGGTTGGAGAGGGGAACGAAACATTCATTATAAAGGTGTGGAAACCTTTCTCTAGGAGACGCGTTTTAAAAACCTTGAGGAGAAGGCCGAAAGAAAAAACCCAAAAAGAACAATATATGTTAGCGGTGGGCTTGGACTATTACAAATAGTATCAGGGCCAGTTATCGAACAATACGAGCCACTTGTCGGAGTAGGGCTATACCCTTTCCATACGTTTTAAAATCGTGAGCCTGACGACAATACGTAACGGGCAAAACTGGATAATATCTGTTACCGATGAACTTAGATTGTCAGTGATTTTGACCGATTGAACTATACTCAATTAGTGATAGGAAAATTTTTCTATACAACCGTGAATATGAGTATGACTCTTTGTCATAGTTCATAATAAAAACCAAATTCATTTACTTGAAGACATAATTATAACATGAAATCACACAAATGAAGAAAACAAACAAACACTTCAACAGAATAACACCAAATTTGGTAACTTCACTGTCACTTTCAGACACAATTTTGAACTCAAGGCAGTCCACCTCCAAATCCACCACCAGCTCCTCCTCCAGCGCCGCCACCTAAAACGCCACTGCCACTGCCACCACCACCGCCGAACCCTCCACCTCCACCACCGCCGAGCCCCCCAATTCCAGACCCAAATCCCGCTCCACCTCCACTGCCAAAGCCCGAACCACCACCTAATCCACCGCCGCCACCACCACCAAACCCTCCACCACCGCCGAGACCACCGCCATAACCAGGAAAGAACTGGAAATAGCCTGTCTTTTCACTTCCAAACCCTCCCCCAGTGCCAACAAGCCTTCTGGGCTCCGAGGCACAGATTAGTGCAAACAGAACCAGCAGCCAGAGGAATTTCAAAGCCAAAAAAGAACCCATAATTTGTTTTCAAATGAAGAATTCTTTGATGGGAATTGGGAGTTATTGAAAGTAGGAATTTATAGAACTATGTTAAGTGAAAAAAGGACAAGAAATGGATCATTGAGTACCCGTGGGTGAGCAGTTCACAGAGCTCAAACTTCCTTTTAGTTGACACTTTCCCATGCAGTTCTTGCTGATAAGCAAGAACTATGCAGTTTTCCCATTACATCATTTAAATTCTTGTTCAACCAAACATGTCTTTTTGAAACAGTCACAAACATGAAACTCTGTTCAACCTCTTTTTGGTGAAGCCCATTAAAAATTTCAATAAAATTTAGCTAAGAATTCAAATGTTTTTGTAAAAAGAGCTCGAAGTTGAGCATTTGAAACAAGTTATGTTGAAAAGGAACACGAATCTAAGCACCTAGAAACCAGTTAGAACGGTGTCACCCACTCGTGACAAGAAATGTAAGATTTTGAAACTTAGAGAGGCCTCGTGTGACGACCACTGGCCCGACCACAAAGGAGAGCGTTTCGGGGGATCGGTAGCTCATCTCTTAAGGAGGTTGATGAGGTATAAACCCTAAGATAGAACTGCTGTCCCAAGTATTGCCTTGCCCAACTCTCAGATCTCACATTCCAAATTCCTACATTATCAAGTGCCATATAGATTGCTGTCCATGACTTTGGATACACCTGCCGTTCATAAAAACAATTGTGAGATCTCGTATCAGTTGGAGAGGGGAACAAAACATTCTTTATAAGAGTATGAAAACCTCTCCCTAGCAGACGCATTTTAAAAACATTGAGTGGAAGCTTAAACGAAAAAGTCCAAAAAGGACAATATCTGCAAACGATGGGCTTGGGTCGTTATAAGGGAAGTACAAGTACCTGAGTCGTGCAACGAGCGACCGTGTCTCTGAGATTGTATCGATCTCGGCTGGCAGGCGTCCATTGGCCTCCATCCATCCTGATCAATCCAGCTCCATGTTATTGAGACTGAAACTGATTCTTGGTTTCATTGAAAATATAAACTAACAAGTGAAATAAGTCGTAGTACCCGACGACGAAGAACGAGTAGCCATTGATATGCCATGACTGCACGGTGTCTTCCCAATTTTGGAACACAATCTCGATGTATTCGCGAAAATTAGAATCCATGACAGAGGTCTGGAGGTAGGCATTGCCCCAGGTGGGAGTGGTGGGAATGCTGTTGAGGTTGAAAACTCCAGCGATCTTGAAGAAGTCAGCCAGTTTCAATGGAGTGTCTGCTTGAACAAATGAGACACTGTTGACAGCAAACCTCTGCTTTCCATTGATAATGGGGGCCGAGTTCGCTAGTATGATCGTTCGGCTCGTCTTGATCAGTCCATAATGGTAGGAGCCTTGCGGATTCGGTCTCGGTCCACTTGCAGTCAAGTTCCAGCTGATTCAAAAAGAGAACGAAAACAGATTTTAATAAGCAAAGTGTAGGTAACATGTCAACAAGACTAGACTAACAAGCAACTGAAAAGCTATTGAGTTGACATGATACCGGATAGATCTAGCCTGCTGGAGAGACCAACTGATCTCAGTGGTCGGGCCACCCGGAACTGGACCAGAAACTTTCTCCCATGAATTGCTGTAGTGAAGTACAGCGGTCGTCGTGAGGATCGGAGAGGTAAACCGAGACGAAACAACGACGTAGTAGTCCTTGGGAGGTTGATCAGCAGTGACCAAGACAGAGTAGGATTGACCCAAATGGATGTCAAGAGAGGAATATGTGTTCTGGAGAGTGTGTGATCCTTCCACCTCCACCAGTTTCATCAGATGACCCTGAATTCTGAAGTTGATGGAAGCTGAAAGTCCCACATTTGATATTCTGAACCTGTATGTCTTCCCTGTAAACAAATATGATCAACAAACTTACTATTTTCCTTATGTGCGCATATGTAACAACAGCCCGAGCCACCGCTAGCAGATATTGTACTCTTTGGACTTTCCCTTTCGGGTTTTCCCTCAAGATTTTTAAGACGCATTTGCTATGAAGAGGTTTCCACACCCTTATAAGGAATGTTTCGTTCCCCTCTTCAACCGATGTGGGATCTCACAATCCACTCCCCTTAGGGGCCTAGCATCCTCGCTGGCACACTGCTCGGTGTTTGGCTCTGATACCATTTGTAATAGTCCAAGCCCACCGCTAGCAAATAGCATCCGCTATGGCCTGTTACGCATCGTCGTTAGCCTCACAGTTTTAAAACGTGTCTACTAGGGAGAGGTTTCTATACCCTTAAAAGGAATGTTTTGTTCCTCTCTCCAACAGACGTGGAATCTTGCAATCCACCCCCCGAGGGGCCCACATCCTCTCTGGCTCTGATACCATTTGTAACAGTTCAAGCCCACCGCTAGCAGATACTGTCCTCTTTGGGTTTTCCCTTTTGAGCTTCCCCTCAAGGTTTTTAAAACACATCTACTAGAAAGAGGTTTTCACACCCTTATAAGGAATACTTCGTTCCTCTCTCCAACCGATATAGGATCTCACACCATATAACAAAAGATAACAGCAAACATTGTTGTTCACCTTGATCCACATTAAACGTATACCCATTCCACCCTCGACCGTTGATTAGAAGCCCGTCGGGAGTGGGAAGATTTCGACCACTTTCAAGACCTTGTCTCAAAATCTAAAAAAGAATGAGAGACCAGCTTTAACAAACTATCCTCAGAGAATGGAACAACACCAACAAAACCAAATCTTCATTGCAGAACTTGAAAAGAGCTTAGAATGCTTACATAATGATTCGTCTTGAACCAGTCACCAGCTAGCACTGTGAAGTCCCCTGCAGGAGGAGCAAAAGGAACAGGAATTCCCGGTCGACTCCAAATTCTAATGCCTCCAAATGCTCCAGCTGCTTTGTGGAATGCTGTGGATGGGAAGTAGAAGTAACTGCCAATTTGGTCCTTTGCCTGCAGAACATAAGTGAAGTTTCTCAATGGAGGGATAGCACAAGTAGTCCCATAAACTCCATCCTGCCATGAATTTCTTCTCTGCTGTAAACCATTCCTGCAAAGTTACACCCACAAGAAATGCTCATATTTCATCCTAATACAATGTCACCCATCAGATTTAATGCAGTTATGATCAACAAAATCAGTAAGACGAGCAGACCAAGATTCAATGATAAAAACTTGGCCAAAATTTAGCCATTAATGTGATTAAATATGGGGTAACTTTACAGAATGATAAATAGATCATCAACCATGTGAACACTGAGATCTACAACAGGTCAGATTGACTAATATAAACATCATTTAATGTTGCTTTAGTGACACCCATTTCAAGTAAACTGCTACCAAACAAAAATGAGACAGACAAAAGTGATTAAATAGAATGTTCAGGAGATTCATGTTAGTTAGAGAGGAAAGAGAACGAAACATTCTTTGTAAGGGTGTGGAAACCTCTCACTAGCATACGCGTTTTAAAAACTTTGAAAGGAAGCTCAAAATGAAAAGCCCAAATGAGACAATATCTGCTAGCACTGGGCTTGAGTTGTTACACTGTTACAGTGGTATCAGGGCTGACACCGAGCGATGTGTCAGCAAAGAGGCTAGCCCTAAAGGGGGTGGACACGAGGCGGTGTGCCAACAAGGAAGCCAGGCCAATGGAGGTGGATTGGGGGGTCCACACCGATTGGATAAGGGAACGAGTGTCAACGAGAATGCTGAGCCTCGAAGGAGGGTAGATTGTGAGAACAAAACCTTGAGGGGATGTAAACATTTTTTTATAAGGGTGTGTAAACCTCTTCCTAATAGATGCGTTTTAAAAACCTTGAGGGAAAGCCCGAAAGGAAAAACCCAAAAAAGACAATATCTACTAGCGGTGGGTTTGTGCGATTCGAGTTTACTTCATAAGATCAACTAAGAAAAGTTCAAAAAAACTCTAGAACTTCACTTTACTGCGCTTGAACTTAGATCTAGAAAATGGACGAGAGGTGAAAGTAGAAACTTTCCAAGTTTCCATTTTCCCAATGTTACAGAACGCAACAATCTGACCTTTGCCACTGTCAAAATGAGAAATGAATGCACAACATTAGCAGAGTAACAAACAGGACATTAATGTTCGTCGGCGCTGGTCTCAGACAAGCCAACTATCCCAGGTCGAGAACTCCCACTATTTGGTTTCAAAATGCAAGCCATTAGGATACTAGAAAGAAAAAAAACATGATTAGTAAGTGTTACCAAGAAATGAGGAACGGCTCCTTGAGATAGTTATACACATTGATAATCAAATTATCATTAGTAACAGCATCGATCTGAGGCCCTGGGAACTGCCCATTAATCAAGATTCCCTGCAAAACATTACCAATAAGTTCCAAATTCATTCTTTTCAAGATGCCATTGAACAAGCAACAAAGGGTTTGAAGAACAGAAGATAAAAACGCTAACTTTTAGCTTTAAAAAGCAAGCATTTTCCAAATAAACACATAGAAATGAAAGAAGCATAGTACCTGTTGCTTAACTCCAAGCGGGTAGATATCACCGTAAGTGATTTTCCATGTGAAAAACCTATAAGGGTTCTCAGCATTAACCTTAACAACAGCCAAAAGAACCATGAAAATGAGAAAACAGAGTACTCTGCTTTTCCTCATTGCCATGGGAGCTTGAAGTCAGCTGAAATGAACAAAGTGGCAGATCTAGAAGAAGAGAGAAAGGGTTCCTCTCTCTCTCTCTCTCTCTCTAAATCTACAAAGCTCTCTCTCACTCTACATTTGTTTTGTGGTGGTTGGCCTTTTGTAGAAGCTGAAGTCCGTCTTGGATGTTACCCAGAAGGCAGTGTGGAGGCCTGTGAGTTGTCAGTGTTACAGTTCAGAGATGGAGGATGGCTCTTCCAATCATCCACCGTCAATGGGGGTAGGCCCTATTGGCTTGAACGGCTGTGATTGGGTTGAAAAATGAAAGTCCATGGGATGACTGATAGATGAAGAACAAGTGAATTTACCTCAGGTTGGATAATTAAATACAAGATTCCCCTAGCCTGTAATGCTACCATTCTATAGTAAACTCACCGTCACGAGGAGTTTAACACCGCCGCCGACGCCGCCGCACCAGATATTGAAATGCTTGGACGGTTGTTCTTTTAAGTACAACGGCAGAATCTCTATCCTAAAGCTGTAAACTAGAACATATATGTTGATTTTGATTGGCTTGAGTTTTTTTATTTTCAAAGACAACGTTAATCTCTCCGAAGACTTGAAGGATGTGGAGAATCTTGTGAGAAAGAGAAGAAAAAACATGGAAATCATATACCCTTTGAATTAAAAATTTAAGTAAGAAGAAAAATAAAAGCTAAATTATATATTTGTAAAATATCTTTTATTTAATAGAGTTACGGTTACTTTTGTGAGATCTTATGTCGTTTGAAGGGAGAGGAACGAAACATTTCTTGTTAGACTGTGAAAACTTCTCCCTAATAGACATGTTTTGAAACTGTGAGGCTAACGATGATATGTAATTGGTTAAAACGCACAATATCTGTTAGTGGTGGGTTTGAACTATTATAAATGGTATCCAAGCCAGACACCGAGCAATGTGTCAGCGAGGACGCTAGGTCCTAAAGGAGGGTGAATTGTAAGATCCCACAACGGTTGGAAACCTCTCCCTAGTAGACGCATTTTAAAACTGTAAGGCTGACGACGTTATGTAACAGCCAAAGCAGGCGGATAATATCTGCTAGTGGTAAGCTTGGACTGTTACAAATGATATCTGAACCAGAAACTGGGCCGTGTGTCATGAAGACATTGGGCTCCAAAGGAGGGTAGATTGTGAGATCCACATCGGTTGAAAACCTCTTCCTATTAGACATATTTTAAAACTGTGAAGCTGACGACGTTACGTAACAACCAAGATGGACAATATCTACTTGTGGGTTTAGACGATTACAAATAATATCCAAGCCAGACACCGGACGATGTGCCAATGAAGATGCTGGCCTCAAAGGAGGGTGGATTATGAGATCTCACCTCGGTTGGAAAAGAGAACGAAACATGGAAACCTCTCTAGACGCATTTTAAAATCGTGAGATTGACAACAATACGTAACGGGTCAAAGCGGACAATATTTTGTCTAGTCCCATCTTTTAACAACTCTATCCAAAACAGAAAACAGAAAAGTTCAGTTTACGATATTTAGTTTTGTTGTCGTTGCTCGAAATAACAATACAAAATCACATGCAATCAGAAAAGGACCATGTGATTGTCAGGTCAAATTTCACTCATTTGTTAGGCAACAATCCATATCTCAAAATGGGCAAACTTCCTCAAATCCAGCCATGTTTCCCTTTTCTTGCAGCCTTCGGAGTATATGCATAACTTTTGTACTAAAAGATTGAACAAGAACGAGCAGAGATGGAACAAAGGAGCAGTTCAAGATTTAGAATATGAGGTTAGATACACTGATGCTGGAACCATCCAAAATCTTGGGAACCATTGTTTGGTTCTAAGCTACATACAAAATCGCATACGATGAAGCATGCATTTTGAAGCACTGCAAATGAACAAAAAAAAACGATTCCAGCAGGCTTCCACCACACGAAACTAACTAAGAAAACAACAGATTACAGGCTGCTTATGGTCAAGAGCAGGCCATAATGATCACTGGGCAAAACAGGGAGCTCAAGCATCTTCATTTCTTTACCTACTTTCTTCTCCTTTGTGTATGTTAATTCAGGAATTGGATCAGTCCCAATCATTACAATGGAACTTACCTTGAAATCTTGTAACTTACAAACAAATCTATCCAGACGCCTTTGCAGCGTACGGTTCCCAGATAACATCTTGTTTGATTTGGTATCGTATGTCCAACCATTTTCACCGGGGTGTAATTCTTCCCAGGCATCAATCCAGTCGTCGGGAAAAGGAAACTGACCATCCAACTTATCATCCCAGTTCATGTCGCCGCCGAAAACGACGTTCGGATTTTCCTTGAGAAAGTTGATGGCTTCTTTGGCTTGAATTACACGCTCTTTGCTATACATTTGATTCCATTTTGGAGGTGCAGGGCAAGGACTCTCAAGATGGCTTGTTGCTACTGTCAATGAAAGGCCATTTTGAACTTCAAGATTGGCAATGCAGAGTTCTCTCCCCATTATGGAATTGGAAAATGGTTGACAACTGAAGGATTTCACCGGCAGTTTGCTCAACTGCTCAGTAAATGGATAAATTATATCATCAGTTTATGATGCAAAATGTTGAAATGAAGCATAGTACTAGAGCAATAACAGGTTCATCACTCTCGTATTCTACCTTTCGACACCTCTCCGTCCGTGCAGACGACATAAGAACTAGAACGAGAATAAGATTAGAAGATATGTATAACAGTACACAAAACCTATGCTTATACTCTACGGATTTTGAAAAGGGCTGCTGTGGCTGTTGAGAATGCTAGGGTGTACAAATCTCCGTAAACTCCTCTTTTGTAATTGTGAGAACTTTGAGGTGAAGAAAGCATTATTTATTAGAGTATGAAAACCTCTCCCTAACAAACGCGTTTTAAAACCGTGAAGCTAACAGCGATACGTAATGGGCCAAGACAGACAATATATGCTAGTGGTGGGCTTGAGTTGTTACAAATGGTATCAGAGCCAAACACCAAGTGATGTGCCAGCGAGGATGCTGGCCCCTAGGGGAGAGGATTGTGAGATCCCATATCGAGGTTGGACAGGTGAACGAAGCATTTTTTATTAGGGTGTGGAAACCTCTCCCTAACAGACACGTTTTAAAACTGTGAGGCTAATGGCGATACATAACGGGCCAAGACAGACAATCTATGCTTGCGGTGGGCTTGGGCTATTACAAATGGTATCAGAGCCAGACATCGGGCAGTGTGCTAGCGAGGATGCTAGGCCCCAAAGGGGGTGGATTGTGAGATCCCATATCAGTTGGAGAGGTGAACGAAGCATTCCTTATTAGGATGTGGAAACTTTTCCCTAACCGATGCGTTTTAGAACTGTGAGGTTGGCGACAATACGTAACGGGCTAAAACGGACAATATTAGCTAGCGGTGGATTTGGGTTGTTGGCCTTAGGCTAGTTATTAACATTTGAAGGGTTTTCTTTGCTAGTCTTGTGGGGAGTCAATTTGACATCATTTCATCAACCATATCCATTATAAAAACTATACTTCACCCAGAAGCCAAAATATGCTCTCATTTATGTAGGAAATGAAATATCAATCAAAGGAGGTAACAAAAAGCTCACCAGCATACAAAAGTATCCCCTTGAATGAGCATCCTTCTTGACCGAGCAGCGATAAACTTTCCACCAATTGGTAATCTGGAAGATGTTATATATATCTGGAGTAACTTCCTGCAACACATTGTAAACGTAAAAGAATGCATTACGAAGCAAAATTCTAGAAAACTCAAAATGTAACGGCTCAAGTCCACTGCTAGCAAATATTATTCGCTTTGATCCATTACGTATCTCACGGTTTTAAAACGCGTATGTTAGGAAGAGGTTTCCACACCTTTATAAGGAATGTTTGTTCCCCTCTCCAAATGAGATCTCACAATCCACCCCCTTGAGGGCCCAACGTCCTCGTTGGCACACCGCCCAGTAACTGGCTTTGATACCATTTGTAACCACCCAAGTCCACCGCTAGCAAATATTGTTTGTTTTGGCTCGATACGTATCGTCGTCAGTCTCACGGTTTAAAATGCGTTTGCTAAGGAGAGGTTTCCACACTCTTATAAGGAATGCTTCCTTCCCCCTCTCCAAGTGGGATCTCACAATCTACCCTCTTGAGAACCCAACATCTTCGTTGGCACACAATCCAGTGTCCGGCTCTGATACCATTTGTAATAGCTTAAGTGCACCGTTAGTAAATATTGTCTATTTTGGCCCGTTACGTATGGCCGTCAGCCTCACGATTTTAAAACGAGTCTATTAGGGAGAATTTTTCACACTCTTATAAGGGGAATGGTTCGTTACTCTCACACAACACGTGTATGAAACTGATGGAGTACCTGGAAACAAATAACATCTGGTGAATGCCGTTGGATAAGTTGTCCAAGGGCTCTCATTCTATTACGCATCTCCAAATCTTCTCGGAACCATACATTGTAAGTCAAAATCTTTATGGGTGTCAAACTTGTCCTAGAACTAGAATCCCCTGCCACCCATCAACACAATAAGACTAACACATTAATACAACTTCAAACTAGATTGTTCTTGAAAAAACAATAATATTGACACACAAAATCAACACAATAAGACTAATCCATTAATACAACTTCAAACTAGATTGTTCTTGAAGAAACAATAATATTGACACACAAAATCAACACAATAAGACTAACCCATTTCAGCAATAGTGTTCGCCGATGCCTTAACACCACGAAATGCGCCCAATTCAGCGAAATTGTCACCACCCACCACAGGAACAGGATCGTCTAGTTTCCTTTTCTTGCAGGGCTGCAAGGGAAAGAACACAGACCCAACAGAAGAATCCGCATCCGCATCCTCGCTGACATCAATCAAATCCTTGAAACTCGAAAGCGAGAGGGACGGAGCCCTAGTGCCACAGAGTTCGCAATCGGAATTCTTATATGGGTTCAGGAAGGTGCAGGCCTTGCAGGACCATTGAGGGGCGGAGGAAGAAGACGGTGATGGCGGTGGAGATGAAGGAGATAGACAGATTTTGCAGGCTGCCTTTTGAGAAGGTGGGTTGAGGAATGTGCATTTTTTGCAGGACCAACTAGACATCGGCACAGATAGACTGCAAAATGTTCGACGATTAATCACCGAGCGATGAAGAAAGCGGGCGCTTGAGAAAGATAGTGAACGTGCTATTGATTGAAACATCAACGATTTGCTCGATTGTTGCCGCTTCGAGTTCTCGTTCTATCGTCGTTTTTATCTACGTCCTTAGGCTCGAACGACATGTCGTTTGGCCGATAAGAGGAAAAATTAACGCCCATAATATATATATATCTAAAATTTAATAAAGGAACATTAATATAAACTAATTTTTAAAAATATTTAATCATAAATTAATAATACTGATTAATTTTAAATTTATTAATAAAAACATCATTTTTTAAGAATAAATTTCAAAATAATATGATTCAACTCTGACCCCTTTAAAATGTGGCATATAACTGCCGAGTCCAAAATTCGATATGTATTTGAAACATAGGGACTAATAATCGATGATAGTGTTGTTGTAATTAAAAAAAACCGTCCCAAATACACCTTTGGAAAGACTATAAATGATTAGATCTATATTAGTTCGTACTTGTAAAGAACTCAAACAATCTTACCCTCATCCAAATTTTTAATTTCAAATTTGTCATCACTCCTAAAATCGCATAGTAGCATTAAAATTCAATATTTTTAATTTTATTGATGTTTTTTCAATGAGATCACACATTGGTTAGAAAGGAGAACGAAACATTCTTATAAGAATGTGGAAACCTCTCCCTAGCTAACGCATATAATAACCATGAGGCTAACGACAAACGTAACGAGCCAAAACAGACAATATTTGTTAGCAGTGGAATTGGACTGTTACAAATTGTACAGACTTAACTCTTCATACCGTTTAAGATATGCATATTTGTACTTTAGGCCATATTCAACAAAAAGCCCTTTACTACCAAAAAAAGCACTTTTCAACCTCCAATTTCCTCATAAAAAATATTACATTTCAAAAAAAAAAATATATATATATAAATAAGCTCTTTAATTTTCTACATCAGCCTCCTCACCAAGGAGCCATCAAAGGATGAACAGAAAGAATGAGCAAAGTGCAAGCAGAAAAACATGGAGTCCCTTCTGAGCTGCTGCTGCTGCTGCTGTTCCTCCACTGGCTTCAGGGATCTGTGTTGTGTTCTTCCCTGTCTCTTTAGCTCTATTTCCTACTTTCTTACTGCAAAAGGAATAGAATAATTAAGCACTCAAAAAACTATGTTTTCTTTGCTTGGGAATTCAAGGAACACTCGGTTATGGAGTTTCTATTACCTTCCTGGAAATATGCAGCTCCCATGGCCTGCAAAACACAACCACATTCCCCATATAAGTTGGTCATGATGTCACAAATCACAGGATGTTGCAGAAACTAACCATGGGGTGCCCATGTTGCCACCAAAATCTAACCCAATTAGCTACAAATCTAGATGTTTTAAAATGCATCTTAGGGAGAGGTTTCCATACCCTTATAAGGAATGTATCATTCTCCTCTCAAACCAATGTGAGATCTCACAATTCACCCCCTTAGAACCTAGCGTCATCGCTAGCACACCGCCTGGTGTCTTTGTAACAGCTCAAGCCCACCACTAGCATATGTTGTCTGCTTTGGCCTGTTATGTATCGTTATCAACCTCACGGTTTTAAAACGTGTCTACTAGAGAGAGGCTTCCACATCCTTATAAGAAATGTTTCGTTTCCCTCTCCAACCAATGTGGGATCTCACAATCTACTCCCTTGAGACCTAGTGTTCTCATTGGCACACTACTCGGTCTATGGCTCTGATACCATTTGTAACGGTTCAAACCCACCGCTAGCAAATATTGTCAGCCTCACGATTTTAAAACACGTCTGCTAAGAAGAGGTTTTCACACCCTTATAAGGAATGTTTCGTTTTCTTCTCCAACCAAGGTGAGTGTGGATATGTTGGCTTTTACTTGTATGTTCCATATTCTTTCGTGGTGGGTGATGATTCGAACCTCAGATCTTTTGGTCAAAGATAAGTGAGCGTAATGTGTATCATTCAGTTGTGGTGTTTTGTTTAATGGCTTCACAGTCTCAAAGTTTCAGAAAACCATATCTCTAACTAGCCATTTGAAGAAAATAGGCATAATTCCAAGAGCAAAGTAAGTGAAACAATAGCAACCCAGAAACCAGTGTTCATTGAAAGTTAAAGCAAAGAGATGAAACTCACTTGGGTCAGTGGTGGTGATCATAGCCACGCCCTTGAAATCACAAGATCCAGCACTTTTCCCTTCCTTCTGGTAATAGCTATCAAATGCATAAGAGGCATGGTTCTTCACATTGTTAGGCTGATAACAAGCTTCACCCGGCTGAATCTCTGTACAATTAGCTTTCCCAGGTCCACAAGCCCAATCTAAAGCTGTCTGCAATGTCTTAGTATCAAACTCATCCATGGCAATACAATACGTCTGGTTCGTAGTATCATTAGCCAAAAACGTCCCACTTCCCGACACATGAAGCAAATAAACCGGCGTGGAGTTCCCATAAAACAGCCCCCAATTCGCCTCCGACACCGGCGGCGACCGTAAATCCTCATTAAACAGCTCGTAGATGTAAACGCTGGAAGTGATTTCAGGGTGAAATGGGGAACCACTCCGGTCGAGAATATGCTTGATTAGATTCGAATTGAACGTGTCGGCGTTGTCGATTGTGGCGTATGGCTCTTTCGAATCGCCCTTTGAAGGCCACCCACTTTCAGTGACAAGAACCACAACATCAGTGATATTGAGATTCTTCATCGAGAAATAAGCAGAATCAATCATGGCGTCAAGAACATTAGTGTAGTGAAGCAGAGTATTGGGATCAACCATTTCTTTAGAAGGAATCAAGGGCTTAAACAGCGCATTATCAAGAGGAACAACCCCTTTGTTTTGCATAAAAACATAATAAGGGTAAAAGTTCATCATCAATGGCGACCCAGTTCTTGAAAGGAACCGAAGCAGAGGAAGCATGAACTGAACCAAGCTCTGGTTGAAGAAAGCCTGCGATGGCGGAAATGGGTCGAGGATAATCGAAGCAGCATGGGGAGTAGAAATGGTGATTTGGGTTTGAAGATTTGCAGAAACTAAACCACTGTAAAGGGATTCAATAGCAGGAAGCAACAAAGGGGAAACAGAGGGGATAGTGGTTAAAACCTCATCGCCGACGGAAATGCCGGAAATTAGGGTCTGGGGATAGTACGCCACCACATTCCGGGCGATCCACGCGGCGGCGGTAGCATTGGAAGATCCAATTGCAAGAAGCTGATTGTTGGGTACACTGATAATGACACGAATTTTCGACCCATTTAGGGCTTTGAGGATATCAGGATTCGCATCGTAAAGCCTAATATGAGTGATTTTCTGAAAATGCAAGAACGAAACCAAGTCCGAAGGCGACATTAGATTCGAAACGTCACTCCCAATATTAACCCCAACAAATGGCTGATTATCGTCCTTCTCCATGTTCTTCCCGTCCATCAATGGCGGAAATCGACCTGCAAAAAACCCCAAATAAGAAGGATCAGAAGAACAGAACAGAATGTTCTTCAACTTTTTAGCGAATTTCATGTGCGTTTCAAGACATCATTACCTCTACAAACTGTAAGAAACCCACAAAGGAAGAGAAAGAACAGAGAAAATTTTGATTCTGCCATTGAAGCTTCAGCTCAGCTACATCATTCTTCGCCTCTGTTTCAGCTAAAGATCCTCGCATCATCTAATCTTCATCAATTTATACTGATCTACAAATTGGAAAGGCCAACAACAAAAAACCCAAATGGATTGGGATTTTTTGATTTGATTACAGAAATTACAATGAACCATAATAATCAAGATGATGAAGTTACTGAAAAGCCCTCGTGGGCCAATAAAGAACTGTTCTTTTTGGTGGACTTAGTGCTTAAGTTTTTGGTATTCTTTCAATGGCTATGATTCCTTTCCCTTCCGACACGATGGTTGGCTGAAAAAGGGGGAAAAAGGGAGGACTCTTTTGGAAGTTTGGAGTGTGTGTTGAGGAGAGGATTGTAAATTCACATGGGATTCGAAAAAGTGTCCGTTCTAGACATGTTAGATTGAAAACCAGGCTGTCCCTTACACAACATAGAGACATTACTGCGTTTGTTTTTATTTATGGCGCCTTGTTTTAATCCACACCATATTCACTGTGCTTAATTTACTCCAACATTTAATGTTTCTAACGAACACTCCCATACCCGAGTTCTTACGAGTGAAGTTTATCTCTACAAACCAACACAAATTTTTGTAACATGTTTTATCTCCTCGTTCCACATGTTTTCTAAAATGTTTCTTAGGAGGTCACTCAACATCGAACTGTTTCAAGCCATACATGTTTAACTTTGTAGTGTCAACATACAACTATTCGAGTTTAGTGTCTACTGTCTCAGTCATACTTGTCCAGGACTTATTGTCGATGGCCGTATTCTCATTCCAAATCTCTTTTACTTACTCCCATGTGCAATTAGGTCTTTACTATTATATCGTGTCAATACAGGGTTATGTATGACTATTCGCTAAAATCATGTCTACACCCATCTGGATAAAAATGCCCCAAAATGTACTATAACAAGGGAATGTGACTAATCGTTAATTCTTTCCATCCGAGTTATATGCTACCAAAGCTATAGTGGTTGCTTATTTGCTTTTAGCATATAACATTGATTTCTTACTAAATGTTTTCAACCCATTTCCTCCCTCACGTTTTTTAAAACACTTTTGTCCCTCGTTAACCTATTCATCGAGATAGAATAAGTGTCGCACAATCGATGTCTCACTACCTCAAGAGTACGAACGTGACACCTAATACACACTTAACTTTGAAGTTCCTATGTTGAGCCACTGAAAAAGAAGATATACATCATTAATATAGATAATAACTATCGGTTCTTTTAAGCCGGTATTAACCGTCTCATCTCATTCAATTACCATAACAAAGTCATGCTTTTGAGGCAACAACCATAGGTTTTGTTTTACTAAAAAAGGACAAACAAAGGTGTGTGGGTTTGTACATAGCAGAGAGTCACAAGTGGGTGTAAGAGACTCACGTGAGTCCGTGAGTCAGAGTTTCTGAGATGGGTTCATGAGTTCTTCGAATTTCAAGATCAAGCTTCTGAATGAGTGCCAGAAACAGGCATTGGATACCTTTTACCAAAAGTAGGTACGATTCTGAAGGCAACTCAATTATATTATTCAATGCTGTCACCAGAAATGAGCAACCAAGCTTCTTAATTGGTCTAATAATTAGGCAGATTGGGGAGGAATTAAAACAATCTTTTCCTTCTACTTCTTATATGTTATTATTAACTAAATTATAGTTTGAATGGTATGATATCAACGTCAAACTTCTTTTAGTAAGATGTGGTTTGAGAACAAATCAAGGTAAAAGTTGGTAAGGTTAGTCTGAAGATATGAAATTATAGTTAAGAAAGATAGAAAAAGCTCGTACTAACGAAGAAGGAATAGTCGGGCAGGACTTAGGCACGCAACTTTTAAGAGTGTGGAAACCTCGTACTAAAGATCTTACATTGGTTAGAGAGGTGAATGAAGCATTTCTTATGAGGGTGTAGAAATCTCTTTCTAATGGACGTATTTTAAAACTGTGAATCTTATGACAAAATGAAGCATTTCTTATAAGGGTATGGAAAGCTTTCCCTAATAGACGCGCTTTAAAATCATGAAGCTGACGGTGATACGTAATGGGCTAAAACGGACAACATCTACTGGCGGTGGGCTTGAGTAGTTACAAATGGTATCAGAGTCAGACACTGGACGGTATGTAAGTGAGTATGTTGGGCCCTAGGGGGTAGATTATAAGATCTCATATTAGTTGGAGAGAGGAGCAAAACATTTCTGGTAAGAGTTTGGAAACCTCTCCTTAGTAGAGGCGTTCTAAAACCGTGAGGCTGATGACAATACGTAATAGTCAAAGCGAACAATATCTGGTAACAGTAGGCTTAGGTTGTTACAAGATCGGTATGCAATTACAATTCACGACTACCTTACCATCAATAAAGAGTTTCTTAGCTTGGTTCAACAAGCTAAATTGATTGTTACTATCTATATAAACAAGATGCACTAGCCTTTTCATGGTTCAATCATAGGAACTTTAAAGTTAACTAGAGCAATCTTATCACGGATGAAAACTAAACTTATGAAAAGAAGAGAGTTTAAGTGAGTTTTGGTTCAACCACCCGCCTGCCTCACAGTTTTCTTTTACTTGTTGGTGGTGGTGGCTCTCCAAGTCTCAACATGGCAACAAAAAAAAACAAAAAGAAATGGTTTGAGAAATAGTTGGTTGAGAAATTGAAAAGAGAAGACCAACTTTTGCATCAATAATTATGATATGGAAACCCCAAAAGAGTTTCTACTTTTTAATCATTCAACGGGAACATAAAAACATGGGAGATTCTCCCTACCTTATGCCATTCTTTGTCACTAACACATGTATTTGGTGGGTGAGTCTTGGCTGGCTGCTGCCTTTTCGGTCTTTCCTTCGTGTGTGGGAGCTACCGCTTACGCCTTCCCTGGGAAGATTAAATATCAAATCATTTGGTTTTGAGATCTCATATTGGTTGGAGAAGAACCATATATTGGTTGGAGAAGAACCATAAACATTTCTTATAAGGATGTGAAAACATCTCCCTAGTGGACCCACATGTTATAAAATCTTGAGTGAAAACTTCAATAGACACATCAGTTTTAAAATCTTAGAGGAAGCTCGAAAGGGAAAGCCTAAAGAGAACAGTAAATGTTAGTGGTAGACTTGGGTTGTTACAAATGGTATTAGAGTAGACATCGGACGGTGTGCCAGCGGGGACGCTAGCCGAGTAGACATCAGACGGTGTGCCAGCGAGGACGCTAGCCACCAAGGGGAGTGGATTGTGAGGTCTCACATTGATTGGAGAGGGGGAACGAAGCATTTTTTTGTAAAGGAGTAGAAACCTCGAAACCTCTCTCAGCTGTTATAAAACCATAAAAGAAAAGCCCGAAAGAAAAAACCCAAAAACCGCTGTTACAGTTCTCTTGAGCCTTGATTAATGAGAGGTTGTTTGAGGGCTTCATAGGGCTCAAGGGAGGTTTCATAACACCTTGAGAACACCGTGAGGAAAAAGTTCAAAAAAATAAAAAAAATAATAAAAAAAAAAGTCCAAAAAGAACAGTATTTAGTTGCAACGGCCGTTACAATTCTAGATATTAAGGGGAGATTGTTCGAGGGCTCCATAAGCCTCATGAAAGGTTCTATAGTGTATTTTGTTTATGACTATAAACTTCAAAGAAAGCTCTATGGTGTACAAATCAAAGAAAGCTCTATGTTGTACAAATCAAAAGAAAGCTCTATGATGTACTTTGTTCATGACTAATAGTCATCGAATATATCTTCATTGGAATGGGACATTTTCCTCCAAAAAAAAAAAAAAAAAAAAAAAAAAAAAAAAAAAAAAAAAAAAAAAAAAAGAAAAAAATTGTATTAGATCAAAATATTTAGAAGCCTATGGGTATATTATTCAACTCAGATAAAATATGATTACTACAAGGGTCTCAAGATCAAACAAATCCTCACACACAAAACAAATTTATAATCTCGTTGTGCTTATGCCTCGGACCATTACTACATCATGGTCCTGGGAGCCCTACGGGAAAATTGATATCTATACAAACACATAATCGGATGATTTCAGGATCGGATTCTCTAAAAGCTCCAAAAAGATCCCCAAGCGTTGATTTTGATCTCAACAACTTCCATCGCAGTCGACATATTATTATCCTTCCTCAGAAATATATATATATATAAAATCCAACAAAAGATTGGAACCTCTGTGAATTTCCTTTGTTAATGGCTATCACGCTGTATCATCGAAGGGCATTCACAAAAGCCATCAACGAGTCAACATCCCTCTTCTCAGATGGGTACTTCACTGCTTTAGACGAGTGTTTGGGGAAAAAGAGTACTGTGGGGAAGGATCCTAGCTGCAGCTCTTGTTTGGCGAACTCCTTCTGCTCACCGTCGCCTCTGAACTTCCCAACTTTCACTCCATTTCCTGCCAACTTCTCAGCCAATTCCACATATGACCCTTCCATAGCCTGTAGAAATTCATCGAACGTTAGCCCTTTAAGTAGGATTATGTGGCCACCGCTAACAGATATTGTCTCTTAGGACTTTTCCTTTCGGGCTTAGGTTTTTAAAATGCTGTCTGCTATGGAGAGGTTTCCACACCTTTTAGGATGTTTCAATTCTCCTCCCCAACCGATGTGGGATCTCACAATCCACCCCTTCAGGGCCCAGCGTCCTTACTGGCACACCGCCTCGTGTCTACTCCTGACACATCGCCTAGTGTCTGGCTCTGATACCATTTGTAACGGCCCAAACTCACCGCTAGCGGATATTGTCTCCTTTAGGAGAGGTTTAATTTCAAGGAACTGGTTTCTACACCTTTATAAAGGGTGTTTCGTTCTCCTCCTCAACTGATGTGGGATCTTGCAGATTATCAGCTGAAACGCTTTTGTGCAAAATGATTCTTACCTGACAGAATTGGCACCAAGGTGCATAAACAACCACAAGCCAAGGCTCTTTCCTGTTCTCCAGTCTGGCCAAGTTTTCGATTCCGATTCTGTTCAGGTTCACCAAATTTTCGGAGACAAAAATGTCGTTAACTTGGGGAGTTGCATTTACATGGAGAGCTCCATTTCCATTGCCATTGAGATGTTTAAGATTTCCTTTGTGAAGGCCGCATTCCTTGGCTTTGGAATCCTCCCACCACCATCTTCCTTCTCTTTCGTGCTGCCCAGGGAGGATAGGCCTTGTGCAGGGATCACAGCCAATTGAGACGTATCCTTGAGAATGCAGGGAGTTTACAGGTACATTCATGGTCCGCAAGAAGTTCCATATGTATTTACTATCAAAGTTGGCTACTGGGTTCCACTTAATCAGGCTCCCAATGCCACCATCCAATCCCTCAAAAATAGGATCAATTTGGACAATGGGAATCTCAGACCTAGTTCCAGGAGATTGGTCTTTTCTTTGTCCGGTGATCCATGCTCGGAGCCCCTTTAGAGCCCTCCTCAAAGGCCTCACCTTCCTTACTCGGCAGCACTCCTGGTGGCCATCCTCGTAGAATGAAAACAGCCCTTTGTTCCGAACTAAACCCTGAACTTCAACAGCATCTGGGAACATGTACTCAATGTGGATGCCATAATGTTTCTCCACTGTATCAAAGAATTTGTATGTTTCTGAATTCAGCCTCCCGGTGTCTAGGCTGAATACCCTAAATGGTCGACCAGTCAATCGAGCATATTCAATCAATGCAACATCTTCCGAACCACTGCAGTGGATAATTTTAATTTTTGTTAGATGTTTTTTTCTCGGTAAGGGGTTCAGAAACCAAATGCTTTACTAGTAAATTCTTGTCAAGGATGAAAACTATCGACACCCTTGCATCTATTAATTCAGTGTTCAAAACGAACATCGGTAACATACTTTTCAAATATTGAAAGAAAACAATCCCAAAAGCTAATATTATTTGTTTATCATTATGAATATTGATTATGAGTTTCAACAAAAATTATCCAATCTTTACAGAGTTGACACTTTTCTTCCACATTTCCACTGTGTTCGATTATTCTCTACTATTTACAGTTGATCGTAGCAGCTTGAGGACAATGAAAGAAATGGGAACAGGTGGCGGCAGAGAGAATATAAAGAGACTAACACAATCCGAAGCAATTACGACAACAGAAAATCAACAAACTCAAATAATTCGAATCTCAATGGTACTTGAAACTTTAAGGAAATGCATGAAAAAGGCAGTTTCCTTGAACGACAATGGCATATGTGATTAAAGAGGCACCTTACAGATCACAGATTCAACAGCATTACAATTTGGAAGTTTCAGACATTAGACACATGATGTTGGATAACAAAAGCTAAAGACACTATTTAATCAAATGATAGAATAAAAACCTACCTGAACGCGATAGCAATGTCGTTGCCAAATCTCTCCAGGGCCGTGTCCATTATTTCCAGAGGAGAAGCATATTCGAAGTCTTTGGCTAATCCATCATAGTCTACCGTCTCCGCTTTCTCCTCCACCTCTACAGATCCAACCCGAAAACATCATCATTATCCACACAAGAAACATTTTAACACAAATTCCCAGAAATGAACTCTAAATCGAGGAGATAGGATTAATGAGAAATCAAAATTACCAGCACCAAGAGTATTCGCCGAGAGAGGGACAATCAAATCATTCCGTCTGGATTTCGCATTAATAGGCTTCACCGAGAATCCCTTTCGTGAATAATCGACTCCAGCAGATAAACCGTGCGGCCGATTCAGCAGCTGAACAGAACCAATTCGTGGAGCTGCAAATCGAAATGAAATCCACAATTCAAAATTAACATGCAAACGAAAATGAAATTCTTCGAAACATCATTCAAACACAAATAAATTCTAACAAATACCTTCAACTTCGTTTCCTAATGTAAACAAAGGACCAAATTTCTGAACAATACCTTTAACCTCAAAGGAAGCGGCAAAATGCTGCAAATTAGAAGCAGAAATTGCAGAAGAAGAAGAAACAGCAAGCGCCATGAAGGACAAAGAATTATTGCTCTCTCTTTCGGTAAATTGTAATTCTTGTCTGCGTTTTTCTTCAACTCCGTAGGTTTAAATAAAAAGGGGTGGAAGATGAAATATGAACCTGGATGAAATTCGGGAATAGTGGAATTCTCAACCTTCATCATACGTGGCATACTCTTATTGGTGTGTCAACCCTCCAAGCTCCACCGCTCCGCCACGTAGCAATCTTTAACCCAACAGAATCACATCTTACGTGGCGCTGTTTCTATTTTTCTGCGTACAGTTTCTACGGAATTTACGCCTCTAAAATATATTTAATTTTAGATTTGGTAAATAATAGTTTTGTGTAAAAATATCATTGCAAAATTGATTTTTTTTTTTTTTTTTTTTAAGAAACTCCGAATTTAGTTTATGAAATATAAATTTTAAAAAATATCAAATAAATCCTTAAATCTATATAAAATTTCTAACCGATTTAATAAATTATTAATTATTTAATATTATAAAATTTTATAAAATAAAAAATTTATAATTGAACTGACAAAATTAATTTTTATATTTAATAAATCGATTCATTCATGGAATATTCAAATAGGTCTGAGTTCTTATAATTGAGCCACCACAAAGGAAAGTGTCAGTATTGAGAGGTTCGAATCTACCAAAAAAAACTAAATTACAAAATATACCGACTAAATTCGTCACAGCTCAAACCCGTCATTACAGCAAATATTGTCAGCTTTGGCCCGTTGTTACTGGCTTGTCGTTACAACAAATATTGTCAGCTTTGGCCCGTCGTTACAGTAAATATTATCCGTTTTGACCCATCATTACAGCAAATATTGTCTGTTTTGACCTGTCGTTACAGCAAATAGTGTCAGTTTTGGCCCGTCGTTACAGTAAATATTGTCCGTTTTGGCCCATCATTACAACAAATATTGTTTGTTTTGACCTGTCGTTACAACAAATATTGTCCACTTTAGTCCGTTATTACAATAAAGTCCGCTTTGACCCATTGTTACGGTAAATATTGTCCGATTTGACCCATTGTTAAAGTATAGGTTTCTACACTCTTATTAAGAATGTTTTGTTCCCATCTTCCAACTATAAGCTTTTTATTATTTGATTTTAATTCATGATAGTGGAGGAGCTTTTCATCCAAGAACTCTGCATAATTTATTCCATCTAAAAGCCACAAAGAAGGGAGTCTTATGCAAGACAAATCCTATAATAAACAAACACAAGTTGATACCTACAAATTAGTAAAGCATATCTGGATTGATTTGTTGAAATATTTAAACTTTAGGATCATCTCCTTTTTCATGATCAATACAACTGGTGACAAAAGTTCAGAGCAAATGGCAGAGGTTGTGGCTCCTGATGCAGATGAGCAGTTGTTGGAATGGCCCATGAAAGACAATCGCCCCTTTCTTCGTGCTGTCTATCGTGTCAGTGATCTCGATCGCACGATCGAGTATGTCTTCTTTAAGCTTACTCTGAAGTTCTTTGGTCTCTCCTTCTTCATGGTAATGTATTTGTCACCTTCAGATTCTATACTGAATGCTTTGGGATGAAACTCCTGAGAATTAGAGATGTTCCTGAAGCGAAATGTACCAGAGCTTTCATGGGGTTTGGCTCCGAGCAATCTTCGTTCGTTCTTGAGCTGAATTACAGTATGTAGCTCAAGAATGTCTCTGAATCATGTCATGTTCTCAACATAAACCTTTAGCCAATATTCTTTCTTGCACTTTCTCTAGAACGAATTAACGCACCATACAGGTTATGGGGTGACTTCATATGATATTGGTGCTGGCTTTGGACACTTTGCCATTGCTTCTCAAGATGTGGGTCTTTTCATGGTTTTGGCTCTCTTTTTCCTGCAAATTGAAGTTAAGAACATCAACATGAACTTTTTGTTGCTTTTCAAGGTCTACAAAATGGTTGAAAATGTCTAAGAGTCAAGGGAGCTGGAGCTGGAGCTGTCGTTAGAGAATCTTTTGAGGTGAAAGGTTTCTCTATTGTGCTGGCCTTTGTGAAAGATCCTGATGGTTACATCTTTGAGCTCATTCAAAGAGGTCCTACTCCTCAGCCACTCTGTCAAGTAATGCTTCGTGTTGGGGATTTAGAACGCTCAATCAACTTCTATGAGAAGGTAAAAGAAAAACTTCTCCTGTTTGAGTATGGAAAAATCTCTCTATCCTGCTGCATCACGGGTACAAATTTTGCCGTTTATGTCCCGTGTTAAAAGTTCATGAACTTTCACAGATGAAGAGTGTGAGATTCCTTATCAGTTAAGGAGGAGAACGAAACATTCTTTGTAAGGGTGTGAAAACCTCTCCCTATCACACACGTTTCAAAATTTTTGAGGGGAAGTCTCGAAAAGGGAAAGCCTAAAGAGACAATATCTACTAGGGGTGGGCTTGGACCGTTACAAATGATATCAGAATTAGAGACCAGGCAATGTGCCAACAAGGAGGTTGAGCCCTATAGGGGAGTGGACACGAAGCGGTGTGCCAACAAAGACGCTGGGCCCCGAAGGGGGTGGATTGTGAGCTCCCACATCGGTTGGGGACGAGAACAAAACATTTTTTATATGGTGTGAGAAACTTTCCCTAGCCGACACATTTTAAAAACTCTGTGAAGAAGCCTAAAAGGGAAAGCCCAAAGATGTTAGACTTGGGCCATTACAAATGATATCATATTCAGACACATGGAGAGATATCCAAAGTGGACAATATCTGCTAGCGGTGGGCTTGGACCGTAACATGAAAAAAGAGAACAATAAAACAAGACCAAATTCATCACATGAATTATAACATACACATACTTTTTCTGTAGTGCTACTAGAACGTCTAATCCTGAATTTGAATCTGTCTTTACAGGCACTAGGAATGAGAGTTCTTACCAGGATTGAGAGTCTAGAACACAAGGTGAACTTCCTTTTCACTTCTACATAAAATCCCATCAATCATCAGAAATGAAAGCTAATGAAATGCTATACTTTTCAATGCACAAACAATCAACTCTGCAGTACGCCATAGCCATGATGGGGTATGCAGATGAGTTAGAGACCACCGTTCTTGAGCTGACTTACAACCATGGCGTGACACAACATTCAAAGGGAAACGGATATTCCCAGGTCAAAACTTATATCAATGGTTAAATTTTCCTTTCAAGTTAGAGCAGCTATGCTTGATTAAATGGTTTCAGGTAGCTATTGGGACTGATAAAGTAAACAAGAGCGCTGAGGTACTCAATCTGATCATACAAGAACTTGGAGGAAAGATAACCCAACAACCCAGTTTGGTTCATCAATTCAAAGCCAAGATTACAACGTTTCTGGATCCTGATGGGTGGCAGATTGTGAGTTTTCTTTCCTCAAGATTATTCAAATTTACATTGAATTTGTTTATCAAACCAAGTTCTACATTTCTAGGTTCTTGTTGATAATGAAGATTATCTGAAGGGGCTGCATTGAAGGGTATTGATAGTGTAAGCCTAGGCAATAAGAGCTTGAAGGGTTTCATCAAATCTCTATACGGAGCGCTACAGAATTAGGTCGGTGTGTATTTGTAACAAGAAGAATGTTTGAGTGGTGTACCTGAAATGAAACTCGACTATGGAGCCGTCTGTATGAGAAGGAAAAGCATCAGTTGTAGCGAGGGGCCCTGAATGAATTCTAGCAATCAATCTTATATTCGGTGGTTCAAAAAACAATTTCAGAGGATCGTTTGTTGGGATTGTGGGTCGTTGTGCAATCAATCTTCCGTGTAATGTTAAGTATAATGCCTTAACGATATAATGTATAGAGAGGGGAGAATTGAAATATTTTTATGTGAGATCTCACATCAATTAGAGAGGGGAACGAAACGAAACATTCTCTATAAGTGTGCGGTCTCTCTCGATATAATGTATAGGGAGGGGAGAATTGAAATTTTTTTATGTGAGATCTTACATCAATTAGAGAGGGGAACAAAACATTCTTTATAAGTGTACGGAAATCTCTCCCTACCAAAAACGTTTAAGAACTGTGATGATGACGGCAATATGTAACGGGCAAAAACGAACAATATCCACTAACAGTGGATTTAAGCTGTTACAAATGGTATCGGAGCTAGGCATCGAGTGGTATGCCTGAAGGAAGGTGGGATTATGAGATCCACACATCGATGGGTCATGAAGGAGAGTGGATTATGAGATCTATAGGCATCGAGTGGTGTGCCAACAAAGACGCTGGGCATTGAAGGAAAGTGGATTATGAGATCCCACACATCAATGTGTCCCGGAACATTCTATACGGACGTAAACACCTCTCCCTAATAAAAGAGTTTTAAATCTAAGAAGTTTTAAATTTAAGAATGACAACCATACAAAATAGGCCAAAACAGACATACTCGAAGTGGATTTAGGCTATTACATTCCTCTCATCAAAACTATTCAATTCTTAAATTTTACAGCACAAAAGCATCGAAAAGGAAATGGAAACTATGAAAAAGTATTCCAAGCATCAGTACAAGATTTCAATTGGAGGGCCTTTCCTTTTAATCATTGATTATGCCTTAAACTAGAGTTCAAGGCTTTGTTTAAACAAGTACACATGCCAAAGAGAGACCTAATAAGATACCCCCTACTTTTTCTTGTGAATTATCCTTAACTGAATATTAAAATGAGGCAAACGTGGAAATTAATAGCCAGAAACATCTGATGCTTACATGAAATAGACATTAGAATTGGGAAGTGGAAATCATGGATTCTCACCAAACAAACACCCACATTTCTTTTCACAGTTTGGGCGGGGAAGAACACCATGAAATCCAGAGCCCAACACTTGATGAAGTTCTTAATGAGCAACATGTACTAACATTACTAGTGCCAGTAGAAAGATAGGCCTAAGGTAATCGGAAATAGACAAGAAGCTGAGATAGCTGACACGGGGAAGCAAGTAAGGAGAATTTACAGCTTTTTAAGTTTCATTTACAGACGAAGTACGATATGAAGTCATCAGAATCCAAAGGTGTTCTCTCCACTGTAAGTCATGTAAAGAAAACCATCTTCATCCTTGTTATCTTCATAGATTGATGACATCAAAGCAGCTGTGACAATACATATATTAGGCAAACACAAACGCATTTCTTCATGCTACATTAAGTGAAATGTACATATTAAAAGAACAAGAAATTCAACTAACCAGTTGGAGGTAGTGTGTTTTGGATAAAGATGAAAATAGCCTTCTCGGAACTAAGCTTAATCCTTTTCCGGACAACATAAACAAACTGACCAACCGTAAGGTCAGCTGGGACAAGGTACCTGAAATCATGAAAAAGGTCCAAATATTAGTATATACAAACTGCCCATCTGATTGCATACAATCCAATGTAGTACGAGAATTAAACTCCTTTCAAATATGGCCTCCATTATTGGCCAACAGAGCTAGGTATTGTTGCCATCGGGTATGTCCTTCCTATCAGGACTGGATTAAAAAGAAATCACAGCATAATATCTGACAATCAGGACTTCAGCATCGACCGTCTCGATTTGTAAATTTTATGGAAATTAAAGAATAAGCCAGCACCTAATCCTAGTAACCAAGTTCTGGAGTTGTACCACAATGAAATGCCTCCCCTCAGCTGATTTCAATTAAGAAGTCCAATTTTAACTGGTTTATACAAAGTCAAGTCATTACGGAACTTACTTCTTCTTATCAATGTCAGGAATGTCACTCCTTTCAGCTTTCTCCACAATCACCTGCATTTGAATCATATTAACAGAGAAAAATTGGAGTGCACTAGGTGACAAACACTGATATGAAAGTTTAACATTCTTACGGGAATTCTGTCCGGATATTTCTCCCTGATGCGAGAAGCTTCTGCTTGTCTCCTTTCTATAACATTGGAGGAATAGTTTAAAACAAAGTAAAGACCATGCAAGACTGGATGGGAAATGAGCGTTTGACTAAATGTGACACTGAAACAATATCAAAAGGAGGCTGAGAGAAAGCGCAAAAATCAATTGACTGGTTTTCAATTAATCCAGGAGACCAAATGTAAGGCGGAAACAAGTTTTCACCAGAAAAAAAAAAATCCTCTCACATTAAGATTCCAGCGAAAAGAGACGAAAGGAACTTAAAATTACCCCCAATTACGCAGTTCAAAGAAGCTCATTCGAAATCATAAGAACAGGCCCTAATTAATACCCGACGTGAGTGGCACTAATCACAAAAAAGGAATAAAACATCAAGGATTAACCACCCAAAAAGTTAAATCAGAATATCAGAAGGTCATTTAAATATCAAAAGTAGGCGAAAACTGACACGATTCGTAACATAAAATAAATAAACAATAAAGTTCAAGAAATGATCAAAATGGTCAAAATTGTGAAAAGAAAAACCTAGAGGATGTTCGAGCTTGAACGAGCTTTTGGCCATGGGGAATCTCAAACGATATCTGCGAATTCAAGCATCAGATCAATACAACAGCACAAAATCCAGGCCCAGAAGTTCAATTGAAACAGAATCGAAAACAACAACTGAAAAAACAAAAGAAATTACGAATACACAAGAACAGCAGTTCTGAAAATTACAAAGGAAAAATCGATGAGGATAGTGCCTACAATACCAATTGGCAGAGCTAATTAAACGAAAATGACCAAAGAGACAGGAAGATCAAGCTGTGAGAAGTCAATCGTAAAATAAAGGCCGAACACTTGGAGACGACGAAACGTACCAGAGTTTTCTTCTCGATTCCCCCACGTTAACCCAACACACCCTCTTATCACAGATCAAATTACTTGTATACCAAGCTATGCCAGTTAACCGGGCCCGTCTAAATCGGTACTAGGCCCAATCTTTTCAGACCCAATTATAGAGCCCAAATTCTTAACCCAAGCCCAACATTATATAAAGTAGCCCGGCCCAAAAATAACTAAACTTACAATTAAAGGAAGATGACAAACGACGTTATATTAAGAAAAGGTGATAAAAGGCTTTCGGTGGGCTTTCTAGAGCAAAGCCCACTACAGGCCCAATAGAAGCCCCACATGACCACTTCTTCTAAATGAGTACAAAAAAGAATTGGGGTGAGAGAGGCTCGAACTCTCGACCTCAGGATAACTCGAAGCTATGAGACCTACGCGCTAGCCAACTGCGCCACCACCCCTTGATGCTTAGGTCTTCTAAGAAAATAAATAGACTTTAAAAAAAGAAATAGAATTTACTTCCTTGGTCAAAGAAAGAAGGGAATAAAAGAAAGCTAAAGCAAAGGAAATAACCGAGCTAGCAAGCAAGAAAGCCATACCTTATTCTTTAACTCCTTTTCACCGGATGGAACTCGGTAAAAGTTAAATCTGTCGAATTAATCTCAATCGGGAGTCTTCTGGCTCGTGCACCGGAATCTTTCTAGTCCTCACGAGTTGGTCTCAGAATGTTTCCGAATGCTTCTACTCCTCTTTTCTTTCCTTTCCCTCTATCAGTCGAAATGTGGAGAATAGACTCAACTAAAGAGGAATTATCTATCCTTCACTCCTTTCCAACTCGCCTATGATCTGCTTGGCTCTGATTTACTCGACCTTTCATTTGTTGAGTCTTTCAAAGCTACTAAGGAGTGAAAGAAGGAAACGGGAAAATGACCCTAAATATCGGGAAAATGGCCTGGGGAAGGAACAAAAAAAGAAAAAAGTGGTTTTTCTGAACGTCATTGGAGAAGGACGGAGGAAGTCAAGGAGAGTAAATCCATGAAATCAGGGAGATTCAAGCCAAAATAATAGGAATTAGACCTCACGCGATTCAAAATAGAAAAAAGCACGAACGATCCGACTAGAAAATCATTCAAAACTTGATCGAAGAACCAACATTTATTGAAGAAGTTATAGAGTCGATTACAAAAAGTACTAGTTTGAAAGGCTCGTTGGATGCATGCCAGTGCAAGTTTCATACGACCAGGTGGAGTGGCACAAGATCTGCCTCTTGGCTTATATCGAGATGATTTCAAACTCATGGAAAGCCTTTCTCAAACAACCGAAAGAAGAAAAAGAAATAGATTTATAATATTTGTTAAAATTTAATTCTCGCACAAAATTAAGCTTGATTAATTCGACATTAAATAAATCTTTCATAACTTATAATTTTTTTTTTTTTTGATATTTTTTCATAAATTTTAAGATTTATGGTAAAATTAATCTAGTTTAAGAGCATGAAAATACAATGACCGTCTTCAAAGTCTCACTAAATAGTTTTTCCATGAAATAGTTAGTTTAATACCACATCAAACGGGTCCTAACATGAGAATTCAAGCAAGAAGCACTTTCGCACTCTCGAGCAGTAAACGGTTGAGCGGGATGAGCCACCTTGTTTTCCAAAAGAGATGGAGAGACAGGTTCTCTTGAGCCTCTCCCAAGGGGGTGAGTCTCAATTCAAGATCGAGAGAGATCCCCTCTTCTAATTCTTAAGAATGTACAAATTCACGATATGAATTCAAGCAAAAAGCACTTTCACGTTCTCAAGTGGTAAACATTTGAGCAAGATGAGCCATCTTGTTTTGCGAAAGAGCTCGGGGGACAGGTTCCCCTGAGCCTCTCCCAAAAGGGTGAGTCTCAATTCGAGATCGAGAGAGATCCTTACGAATGTACAGATTCGCGATATGGATGTGAATCGTTATTACATTACACAACAAATACAAACATGAAAGCTCTGAAGAATTCTAATATCTAATGGCTGGAACGATACATTATGAAGTAAAGGTATATCTCTTCCCTACAAAGCTAGAACTCCATAAAGAAGTCTCATTTTCAGCACACTTTTGGTGAACTTCACTCATCCTTTCCACTGAGTTGCATATCCCACTGCATCTCCAATCAAATGAAGCTACACAAACTTCACCTCCCAAAGCTTTTCTCTCACAATCTACACAAACAAAACCACCATTACTTGCTAAATCTCGTTGTTTGATTTGAAAAAAACGCTCATTTAACGTAACATGTCAAAACGGACAATGTTGGCTAGTAGTGAGTTTCGGTTGTTACATCAACCAATGTGGGATCTCACAATCCACCTCCCTTGAGGACCCAAAGTCCTCGCTAGCACACTGCCCCCTGACTAGCTCTAATACCATTTGTAACAGCCCAAGCCCACTGCTAACAAATATTGTCCGCTTTTGTCTGTTATGTATCGTCGTCAACTTCGTGATTTTAAAACGCGTCTACTATGGAGAGGGTCTAGCCCTACTCTGACTAGTGCCTCGCACCATCCGGTAACCTGGCTCTGATACCATTTGTAACAGTCCAAGCTCACCCTAGTAGATATTGTCTGCTTTGGCTCATTATGTATCGTTATCAACCTTACGAGTTTAAAACACGTCTACTGTGGAGAGGGTCTATCCTACTCCAATCAGTGTCTCGCACCGTCCAGTAACCTGACTTTGATACCATTTGTAACGGTCTAAGCCCGTCTTTTTTGGACTTTTCCTTCTGGGTTTCCCCTCAAGATTTTAAAAAACGTCTATTAGGAAGAAATTTCCACACCCTATAATGAACGTTTCTCCTCTCCAACTGAGGTGGGATCTCACATGAATAGAGGTTAAAAGAACTTACGAGGTGGGGTGCTACAACACAATTTCTTGTCATCCACTTGCTCCACATCTAAACCAACAAACCAAGATCCTAATGAAACATCTTCATTGGCATACTTGTGCAGCACATCCCTGAAAGAATGAATCAGTTTGAGTTGTTTAATCACGAGTGAAGTTACATCGAAACGATTTTATAAGAACTTAACTGGTTTTGCAAGATGTAAGTAGCTAAATCTTTCGAGATTCCGTATAATTGTCCCGTAGCATGACGGAAATATTTATTCCCCTCATCGCCGAATCTCAAATACTCCGGTTCGTGATACTTTACTCCCCTGTATCAAAACAGCAGATCAAATGGTAAGAATGTTTGTTTTCATATCTTAAACGAACAAGTTACTCTTACTTCTTGGAGAGGACGGGTCCGGACTTCATACAACCAATGTAAACCCGAGGTCTATTCCGATGTCCAACCAAGGTCGTTCCGAGCGCAGCTGTGGTAGATGAAAGGATATAAGCTTAAATATTTGAAGAAACACGAGAACTTCTTAATGATAACTCACCTAAGTTCACATGAATGTCGTCGTCAACTTTGACGTAAAACTCGGCATCCCACAACGAAACAGCTGTAGCAAAGTAAGTCTTCGTCTTGGCCGATAACTCGAGGTAACCCTCAACATGATTCTGCTTATAAGATATGAACATCAAGTATTACATTCGGATATTTCATTGTTCTCTTCAACCAAGAACTAAAGTGTAACCGCCCAAGCCTACTGCTAACAGATATTGTCCTCTTTGGACTTTCCATTTCGAGTTTCCTCTCAAAGTTTTTAAAATGGGTTTGTTAGAGAAAGGTTTCCACACCTAGGAATGGTTCATTCTCCTCTCTAACCAATGTGGAACCTCACAATCCACCCCCTTTAGAGTCCAGCGTCCTCGCTAGCACACCGCCCAGTGTCTAGCTTTGATATCGTTTGTAACAGCTCAAGCCCACTGCTAACAAATATTGTTCTCTTTAGGCTTTCCATTTTGGACTTCCCCTCAAGGCTTTTAAAACGCGTCTGTTAGGGAGAGGTTTCCACACCTTATAAGAAATGTTTCATTCTCCTCTTCAACCAATGTGGGATCTCACAATCCATCCCTTGGGAGTCCAACGTCCTGCTGGCACACCGCCCAGTGTCTAGCTCTTATACCAATTGTAATAGCCCAAGCATACCGCTACTAAATATTGTTCTCTTCAGGCTTTCCATTTCAAGCTTCCCCTCAAAGCTTTTAAAACACGTCTATTAGGGAAAGATTGTCACACCCTTATAAGAAACGTTTCGTTCTCCTCTCCAACCAATATAGGATCTCACGTAAAAAAAACATTGCTTGAAACAATAACAATAGTAGCAATAGTAGCAATGGTGATGGCTTGATGGTATTACCAGCCTAAGGAAGTCTCCATGTTCACGCTCCTCATCATCAAGCATCTTGTTGAGTATACTACCAGGATTTGCGCTATCAACCAACATAAAGTAATAGTTGATATCAATTCATCATAGTAGTATACAACTTAACAAGAACAAAATTCGTGTTCTTCGTTTACCTTCGACCGATAATGAAACGAATGATAATGCCTTTCTCTTCCTCCAACTTCTTTCTTTTCTCACCTAATATGAACACATTATGAACATCACTACCAAATTAAGCAACCAAAGGAAGAACTCAGGACTTGTGACATAGCAGACCTTGTGGCATCCAAGTTGCACGAACCGAATCTCGTCGTTTTCGGCTCGTAAAAGCTGTATTAATTCCTACAACCACTAAATATTTTCTTTTCAAATTCGAATCATTTGATGCAGATGTGTGACTAATCGTTACAGCTGCAAGTTTCTTCTCCAGATCTATGATGTTCTTAGCAAGTGTCCTGCAGGTAATGTTTTAGCAGAAAATTTGCTCTTAGAACACTCATTTTTGTGACATCTTAAGAAAGTAAATTCAATTTGATTCAAACATCAGCGTTTTACTTACTGAATACTAAGCTGAGACCTTGAAAACTCCTCTGGCCTTGCACCAGATGCCTAAAACAATGTAGAAAAGTTCATCACAAATAAAGAACACAAATTCTGGATTTCCATAATCCTTTTCGACTTTCCCTTTCGGGCTTCCCCTCAAGGTTTTTAAAACGCATCTGCTAGGGAAAGGTTTCCACACCCCTGTAAAGGGTGTTTTGTTCTCCTCTCGTTCCTTTCTCCCATCGATGTGGGACTCCTACCAAATCCACTCCTCTTCAGAGCCCAACGTTCTTACTAGCACACTCCCTCGTGTCTACTCCTTTTGGGGAACAACCTTTCTCTTTATAAGGGTGTTTCGTTCTCCTCCCAACCGACGTGGGATCGATGAAAAAACTTTAGTTTCATTAAGAAAATGAATCACTCACAAATTCTGGATCATAAGACTCAGATTTTAACTCCATTCTTTGATGGGAGATTGTAGACTTCAGTGCAACATTATTACCCATGGGCACTATCCACATCCTGACAAAGTTAAGTTCGAACGAACGAACGAATCGAACGCAATCTCGATCGAGTTAGAATCGAAAACGGAACGATATTCTTAACAAAAGCAGATCAATAGGGTGTAAAAACCAGTTCATCAAGCAGATGAAGCAATTAAAGAGTACCTGTTTGTAAAAAGCATGGCAGCAGAAAAGCACACAAAACATAGGAAAAAGGCCCACTTCTTAAATAACACATATCTTGAAGCAAAATCCAAGGCAGTTCCTCCAACTTTGTTCTTCATAGACATTTTTGCTTGCCTTCTTCACCTAAATTTGCTCTTAGCAGTAACGTAACGATGAGGAGAACAACGTCGAAAGGGTCGGACCTGGGCTGCTTAAGAACAAGCAAATGAAATTCTTGATATCTAAATGGCTATGGCTTAGATATCAAGAATTTCAGCTGAAAGGATTAGCTGATGTCTGAGAGCTAGAACATGGAGCATTTTAATAAGTTTTAATTAGTAGAACTGAATACCATTAATGTCTGAAATTTAATTGATAGATTGACCAATTGAAACGGTTGAAACTTTGAACCGTTTTAAAATAAATGCAAAAAAAAAAAAAAAAAAAAAAAACGGAAAAAACTGTCCGTTGTAGACAGTCCTTTACCAGACCAAGCAACCTTAATCCCCTCGAAAGAGTCCACCAGAGGGACAAAGAAAATGGAGTAAAAGTTGCTGGTTTATGCTTTCTAAATCCAAACCCACCAACAAAGCTACTAAATTTAAGCAAAGGTAACAAATTACTATTGGTATGTTCTGTTTTGATATGTTATATATCGTTATTGGTCTCACATGATTTATTCCACCTTTAAAGGGTCGTGGATACTGGTCCTTCGTCCACAGCTCATGACCCAACTTTCTACTTGGAATGGACAAGCAAAAGAATGTGTAAGATTCCATACTGGTGTGGTGAGAGAAGGGAACGAAGTATTTTTTATTAGGGTGTGAAAATCTCTCCCGAACAGATACGTTTTAAAAACCTTATGGATAACCTTGAAAGGGAAAGCCGAAGAAAGACAATATCTATCAGTGGTGGGCTTGGCTGTTACAGAATGACTCCAGCAACCCTAACCAATGGGCTGAGCCAACCACTTTGTCGTTGTTTCCAGCAGTGTGCCAACGAGGATATTGACCCATAAAAGGGTAGATTGTGAGATCTCATATCAGTTTTATAAGAGCGTGGAAACCTCTCCCTAACAAATACATTTTAAAATTGTGGGTTTTACAATTTTATGTAACGAGTCAAAGCGGATAAAGCGGATATTGAGAGTTAGGTTAGATGTTACATTAAAAACATAAAAACAGCAAATATTTTGTTGGATTATGATTCCGTTTTCCAGATTCTTTGAGGTGTAGACGACAATGACATGAGCAACACAGCAGCACATTTTCCTCAAGGCTTTGATCTATCACAATGAGTGTTCTTTCAGCATCATATCTGAATCCACGTGGATGCAATATCAAAAATCTAGCGAAGATCAACCTTCCTTTTAAGGCTTTGCACCAAAAGACAAATGAAGAGAGACAGATAGATATTAGAAATAAGATATCGCTTGGCCGGCTACTAGATATTGTCTTGACTATCTCTCTCGAACTTCTCTTCAAAAAATTTAAAATGCGTTTATCGGGAAAGATTTCCACACGCTTAAAAAAAATGTTTTGTTCTCCTCTTTAAAAGGATATGACATCTTACAATTCACCCCCTTCTAGGCTTAGCCTCATCGCTAAGTTCCCTTCTATAATCGATGTGAGACTTCTTACTCTTTTGAGGGTCAACGTCCTTCTCACCATACTGACATCTCACGATGAGCAGGATGATTGTTCTTCTTCTTTATTGTGGCACTGTTAAAGGATGTGATATTTGATTTGATGGGTTTGATGCCGCTGCCATATCTCACAGATACTCATTTTCCACAACCTTATAGACAAAGGTAAACAGCTTTTAGCCTTTTACGACCAAACAATGAACACTACTGCTATTTTTAGAGCTGGTGACTTGTTTGCTGAGTAACGTAGATAAACAAACAAACAAAAAAAAAAAAAAAATTGATGTATCAAAGACAAAGACAAAGGGTATGCGCTTTCAAGTAGGATGGATTTTGAGATCCCATTTAGGGTAGAGAGGTGAACGAACCTCTCTTAAGCCATACGCTAGACGATGTGTCAGCGATGACGTTACGCGGGATGAATTGTGAGATTCTACATCGGTTGGAGAGGAGAACGAGCATCTCCCGAATCAGACACCAAGAAATGTGTCACGAACCTCTCTTTAGAAGAATCGTTTTAAAACCATAAGCTAGGCTCAAATTTGACTTCAAAAAAATGCCCTTCTTCCCCTTGTTCATGTAGGGAAAAGAGTGGAAGAACTACACAGGTGGGGATGCTATCAGTTATGAGAGTGCTCCGTAAATAAGAAACCACTTAGCCATGTAAAATGAAAGACATCGAAGCCATGAACAACTAACATGGCGGAAACTGTGTTCTTACCTCTGACAGACCATAACAATGGCGGAAATCAAACAAAAAAACACAGAACAAAACGATCATATTCGTCTCTTCCCTTTCTAGTTCTCTAAACATCACTCTAGAAAACCAGTCTTTGACAGAACGGCGTTTCGAACTTTGCTTAAATCTCTCCCTTTGAGAGTTCTTCCAACCCCTTCAAAAACAGAGCAAGACGAGATTCGGCTCCTGGCTAATTTCTGAGCAATCCATTCATGAGGAGGCACCATGTCGTCGTCTTCTTCACCGTCGACGTCTTCTTGGTCTCCGTCGTCGGGTTTTTCACCGGAAAAGTCCATCTTGCCGTAAATTTTGGACCAATCTGGAATGACCACCGGAGCAGAGGATCGGTTATCCGTCATCTGGGTTTCGTGGGTCCTTGTCGAAATGGATTTCGGTATCATTTTTGGAGCAGATGGAAGCCGCCAAGTTGAGTAATCATTGGGTTTTCTAGTGATGAAATTAGACGATTCCTCATTACTCTCAACAGAACTCCAAACATCTTCTTCTTCCAAATCTTCACTGACGCCATAGCTTTTTCTCAGAACAGAGCTCCAATTCGCCATTGGTATCTGGATTATGAAAAAGGTGAAATAACTTTGACCCAGTAAGTAAATAGTTCTAGTGATTACTCATCCAGGAAACCGAAAAGAACAACACGTAGATTCTAGAATTCCACCCTCGGTTTTGTTGTAAAGCACTCAGTACAGCAAAACAAAAAAACAGAGGTTCTTTCAAGAGTTCTGGGTTTTGTTCATAATTCCAAAAATCACGAGGAAAATGGCAGGGAAGCTGTAAAAAAACGAAGAACAGGGTAAAAGGAAACGCTAAAGGGGATCTGGGTTGGTCTGAAAATCTCCAACGAAGCTCAGAGCTTTAAAGGAGACGACGAAAACAGAGCCCAGAGGGAAAACAGAGAGATCAGAGATGGCTTTTCCTTTAAACTCAACGAAGAACTTAAAGAACAGAGGAAGCAAATGAAAGTAATGGGGGATAGTGTAGAATCTCAGTTTCAAGATGACAAATTTTACTGAACAGAAATAACCATTATAAAGGAGACACAGTGAATGGTGACAGAACAAATCATGGAAACAGAGCATTTGATGCTCTGTTTCCTTTGAAGAACAAAATTTAAGCTGTAATTAAAGCCTTGGTTGTAGCACTTAGATGAAACAAGATGAGAGAAATAAGTAAGTGATGGGTTTGATTCTGACAGAAATTCACTGATTTCAGATTTCTGTAACCTTTTCCCCGAACAAAGTCAGCAGTAAATGTGCTCGATCCGCTGTAGAAGTTCTGTTTTTTTTTTTTTACAGAGAGAAAGAGCTAGTTTTACAGAGAGACGTGGCTGTCTATGAAGCTAGTTTCTTGGTTTCTTCTTCGAGTTGCCCAACGTTGGACGTGGAGGGGGCAGCTGCTGGTTGAGGAACAAGACAACGTAGTACTTTTCCTTGAGAGATTTCATTGAGATGTTGTAAATTTGTTTGTGCTTCTTCTCGAGTTCAACTAGTCAAATGTTTGGTTTTGATGTTATCTATAGTTAAGTTCATTGCTAATAAACATCGTTCCACTTTAGTTCATTACATATGTCTATTAGAGAGAGATTTCTACACCCGTTTAAGAATGTTTTATTCCTCACACTTGATTGAAAAAAAGAAATAGGTTAGACATAATACAACTTTTAATTGATCTTTTCGTACAATTAATAAATTGCTATCTTCCAAAAAAAAGAGCACCTCACAGTCAGGTCTAAAAACTATCATTTCCACCACTTGAATGGCTGTCCAAGCAGAAGCAACTTCAACCATTATAGGACTGAAAAACTAGTGAGCATTTTCAGTGGTGAACAACAAGTGACTGCATAAACCACTTGGATCTTATTATCAGATTCCATTTATTGGAACATCAGAACGTACATTCATATCTATAAAAGCTGAAGCATGCTTGCATTGTAAAGAAAGATGGAATCAATTATTGAACTCTAAAGCTTGTGCCACCATAGATTCCTTGGCCTAATAACTAAGGGAAATGAAGCCAGAATTATAACAAAACCTGTACAGGACGTCGAGTTCGAATCAGATTGACACCGATATCGCGCTCCCCGCTCCCATTTTCGATTGTTTATCACCGTTTCTCATTTCCGGGCTGCATGGTAAAGCTCCAAGTAGTCGAGAGAAGGCCGGTTCCAAGACCAGTCTTGATCCATCACTCTCTGGCATAATGAATCAAACCAGCTTCGATCGTTATACCATGCAGAGATTGCCCTGAAATGAAAACAAACCTTGTTCAATACAAATGTGTGAATCATGAGAGGAGCATGATGATTGTAGAACTGCTACCAACTGAATCAGAACCAATGAGCAATATGCAATGCTAAAGCTTTAGATGGTACCAACCACTCTAAACATTCGACCCGTGTTCTAACCAGATAAAGAACAGATCGTAATCAATTAACAGGAGTAACGGAGTAGAGTTTGGTCACTTTTATTCAACTTTCCATGGAATTCCCGGATGGCCAGTATGAAGAAAAGATATGACCGGAAGAAAACTTGAAGAAAACTCATTCATCAGGGTTCATGTTAACTGACCTATTTAGAGCATAATCAACGCCAGATGGATCTGCTCCTTCAAAATTGAACCCATTTGTTTCAAGGCCTGCTGCTTGTGCTCTTTCTTTATCATGATCGACGTCAAACACAGTATCATGAAGTCCTACAAATAGTAATACACAGAAATTTTAGTGTATAATTAAGTGGGTTCTAAAAATTCTAACACTGGATCTTAAGGTAGGTGTTACTCAGAAATGGTTCTCTCAAGTATTACATATTAACGATGATAGAAATATGAACTTAAAATGCACATATTGCCCAAACCTCCAGTTTTTCGGACAACAGGTACTGAACCATATCTCATAGCGGTGAGTTGAGTTAGACCACACGGCTCAAAAATTGAAGGGACCAGCATCAGATCTGCACCAGCATATATCTGCAATTATTGATTAGATGCGTTAGTAACAAAACTGGAAGAACTACTGTATTGAGTTCTGCATTGACATACAAGGTGTGAAAGAGGCTCGTCGTAAGTAAGACAAAGGCGAGCACGGTCAGGGTAAGATGAATGCAACTCATTTGCCAAATTCACAAAATCATTTTGAATGCGTGGATCAGGAGCTGAACCAAGCAACACAACCTGTCATAGAATAATATCTCATTAGCTACAACACCCAGGAGGAGCCAATCCTCGTAACATTTCTTAGTAAAGCAGCCCATTGGAATAAAAATCAAATATTAGCTGTAAAAACTAAGGAACCAAACTGTAATTTCAAGCAAAACAAGGAAGCAACATGGTAAGATAAACCTGTCCACCCCGATCGAGAGTTCGCCAGATGGCATGCTTGATGAGATGGATTCCCTTTTGATGAGTCAGGCGAGTGATGATTCCTACTAAAGGAAGATCAAACCTACTTAGGCCAAGTCTCTGTCTTAATGCTTCCTTAGCAGCTGTTTTTCCCTCAATAACATTCTCTGAAGTGTAAGGTACCTGATTATTTTATATAAATAGATATCAGATTAAACTTCATTAGTAACAGAGTTCCAAAGAAGCCAGTTAATCAGGTTCATAGTAGATTATTTCAAAAGCCAAGTAATAGAATATGTTACAAATGACCAAGAGAAGTGTACAAACTTACAGGAATAAAATCGTCATTATATGGATCCCATATGTCAGGGTCAATTCCATTCACTATGCCATGAAATTTATGAAGATGGGGTGCAATGACAGGATTTCCCGCGACCTCCTTTGAATACGTAGGAGACACCTGCATATAAACACAGGAAGATTCGAATGACAATTGCAAGACTCTAAAATCATGCAAGGTCAAGTCATTGTTTGCTTAATAACGTGATTACTGACAGTTGTAGCCTTGTCCGAGTACAACATTGCTCTCCCAATAAGCTGCGCTCCAAATTCTAAATTGTGAATAGTGAAGACAACCCGAGCTTTAGTAAGGCCATAGTGCATGTATTCTTCCTTGAATAACCAAGAAACTGGAGCACTAGACCAATCATGGCAATGGATAATATCCTGCCCAAGACAAAAACATAATTAAGAAACTAACCATTTGCCATGTATTCTTCCTTGCATGTTCTAGAGAGAGACGGAAAATAACAATCTAAGATCTAATTAACTAAGCAGTCTCTCATAAGGTAATGCTAAAGAAAAGTTCATTTTCAACTTATGCCCTGACAACTAAATCCAAGTGTGCAGGGATACTAAACACTCTGTATACCAATATTTGCAATGAACATTTTATTGATAAAACCACAACGAGTTAAGTGCATACTTACAGGGTGAAATCCTCCTTGAAGTAAGAATTCAAGAGCAGCATGACAAAAGAAACCAAACCTCTCTCCATCATTATTACAACCATATATACATCCTGTCCAAAAAAGCCTAACAAGTGGGGATAAATATGTTAGATATTTCTTTGAAGTGGGATGCAAAGATGAAGTTCCAAATGCAAGCAAAAAATAGAAGGTTTATGAAATGATAATTTCCTCCAGCAATCAAAGCCAAGGCAGAAATAAAATTCAATAATACAACCTAATCTTTATTACTTCACGACATAAAACCTAAATATTTAGAAGTCAAAATATTTACCCATTTTGAGGCTCCAGAAAGTAAACAGAGAGCCCTTCCACTTTGCCGAACCAGACTTTTATTTCTGTTCCATCCCAGAAATAATTTTGCTGATGGTGAAAATTTTCCACCTACATGTTTTTTTTGGTCAAATTGTCAATGTGCTCAGAATATTAAGTAAAACAAGAAGGCTATTGCGGTGAGATCAATTGTGAAAAAGCATTTACAATGTTTGATATTCAAGCATTCATAATGTGCGTCTTTTAGAAGCCCTGAGGTTGTAGTCATGCATACACCATTAAGTTTTCTTAGCAAACATCTTATGCTGAAATCATAACAATGAAACCAAGCAGGTTGCACATATTTCAAGGTTCTAATCAAATGGGTGTTCTTTGCACGATAAAAAGTGAGAAAATGAGACAAACATCTTATGCTGAAATCATTCCAGTAATAAAAAGATTAAAAAGAAAGGAGATACGAACTAATTGGCAATAAAGCTTACATTGCTTAGGTTCAGACAGTCATACTTAGGAAGAACAATGTCCACATTATGGTTCAAATCTTGAATAGCACGGGATAAACTAGTCACAACATCACCAAGACCTCCAACCTGGATAGCATAGAAAATAAAAGAGATACAAATGTGAGTACTCTTACCTTGCAATATCTGCATTAACAAAAGTGGGAACTCCTTTTGTTGGGCAAACATTTTGTAAGGCTTGACATATTCTTTTATTTTTTTCAACAAAAAGTGTCTCATTTTAAAAAAAAATAATAAAAGTAATAATAAGTACAATGAATAATGAATCAACTCGAGACAAAAGTTTACCTTTGCAATAGGGGCCATTTCTACAGCAATATGCACAATGTGCAAGGGTGGCTCCTTAACTAACTGACCAGCCACAGGTATATGGTAATCCATGCCATTCTTATTGTCAAACGTCCCACCATCTTCCCACTCAGAAAATACAAAATCCATCATATATGCGTCATTTGGAACCTTAACTGCAGAAACAAATGAAACTACAAAATAAAGCATCTCGTAAATGACAAACAGCGAGAGGAGAAAAGATTGAATTTCCACGCATCAAATTTGCAGCAAAAAATGGCCAGTTAGCTGTTAATCTCACCCAATGATCAAAAGGTGTTAGAAATGGAGTCTCACCAGTGGCTTTCACACGGCTGCTACCATCTGCAGGCAACATTTTTTGTGGTGGCAATGGACCCTTACGGTGGGACCAACGATTAAATGAACATCTAAACCATACTTCAGGTTTTCCATTCAGAGGTGTATTGGCAGGATTGTAAAATACTGTCACTGTGCTTCCTGCTTGAACATCAACAGGATCAGTAAACACTATGTGCTTCTGTGACAATAAAAAGTTTTTCAAGGTTCTTTCCTTTATCTCAGATTTCATACGAGCTGTTCTTTCAGCCTACAATAAAGAGATAAATTAGTAGCTGCAAGTGTGAGGGAGTCAATAAAAACTACTTATGCTTCAATGAAAAAAGTACTAAGAATTACAAATATGAGCATGATTCAACCATTATGCATATACTCCTTCCTTTGTTGAGGTCTGGTGTACTCAAAGAAAAAAGAATAAAGAATAAAAGTAAGGGAGTTAAGCAATAAGTCTAAATAATAATATTCTAAGCACCTTCTCCGACAAACAATTAGAATGTGTCAACTTGAGCATACTCTTGACCAAGAGGTAAGAGGTTCGAAACCCCCTATCCCACATGTAACTCAAAATTAGACTAAACTACAGAATCAATAAATGAAATGAAGAAAATATGAAGCAATTTAGGATGCTTGATATCATCTGCATTGAACCGAGATATTCAAGGTGACCTAAAAATTTCTGCACAATATTGTGTTCTGTTAAGATATCTGTGTAGAATTATTGCAGTAAATAAACAAGAAATGAAATATGGAGTCGGTGTAAATATTTTGGTGAATTGACCTTGGCACGGGCAGCCTCCTCTCTTGATCTCCTCTCTTCCTGAAGTTTCCTATAAATCCACTGTTCTTCCTCAGCCCAGTATAGCTCCTCAGAAATGGCTTTTGGAACAATCGCATGGAAATCACGACGCTTGTTGTTATCATAAATATTGACCTTATTGGGTGGCCCATCAGCAAGAACCCAATCCAGAATAATGGCTCGATCAGGTACAATTACTGCAAAATGTATAGTTGTGCATGTGCAATGAAATTCAATACCAACTATAAAAACAAAATTTAACATCAGCCTGCAAATGAAGAGATGAGAATACTCGATGAACGTTTGTTTTTCTCTTAAACCAAGGGTGCCTATAGATTCACAGCCTTCTTCGTTCCCCCACAAACATCTTTCTAGAGGAGATACTGGTCTGAAAACCAGCAAGTGTACCATTCTTCCCCCATTCGATAAAAATTAACAAGCTGGACCATAAGCGGAAAATACATTTTGGTAGCTGAAGATAACACTATGTATGATCTGACTATAACGAATCTTTCAAAAGTATCTATTACGAAGGACCTATGACTTCCCCCATTCAATAATGCATGACTTCCCCCATTCAATAATGTATGATCTGACTATAACGACCGTCACGATCTTTTAAAAGTATCTATTACGAAGGACCTATGACAATTGTCAGGTACCACACTGCATCACCTGATGCTTTCCTCTACATTTTTTCTATAGGACAGGTATGTTATTTGTTGTAAACAGGCCTAGCATGTCAAACAATTCAAGCAACAAGACGGATGGTAATAAGAGTTCTACATTTTTCAGGCCTAGTATTTTGAATTAATCATCATAAGCCATTGCCTCCAAAGGGTAATTTTAAGAGTTAAAAGACATAAAAGGAATAGACGACATTTACACGTACCATCAGCGTACCACCAATCACAATCGTCCCTTATATCAGAAAAGACCAACATTTCAATAATGGATAATCCATCTGTCCAATTATTATGCCCACCAAGAATCCAAAGCTCTTTTGCATGAGCCAGAGGACCTGATCTTTTATTATAGTATAACCTGACTGAGTCTTCACCTTGAAACTCAGCAGGTTCAATGAACCAAACATTACTAACAGACCTCACTGCCATTTTTGAAAGCTGTTTTAACGTCTCTCTTCTTTTTTCAGTCTCTGCCTTCGCCTGGGCTCTGTCGGTTGCCCTAGCAACCTTCTCAGATTCTATTCGCCTCAGTTCTTGTTCTTGTCTTTCCCTTTCAGCCCTCTCTTTAGCAAGTCTTTCTAGATCTTTACGTTTCTCCTCTAATAGGAAATCTTCAAATGCAGAGGCATCCATTCCACCTTCCACAGATATGCAGAAATCTTTTCCATCATTATTTTCATAGACATCTTTCCCATTAAAGAAGACGAAGTCGATATTGTAAGCCTCTTTGGGAACATGAATTTGACAAAACCACCAATCCCCATTTAGATTTGCTTTGTTTAGCCTTATAGTAAAAAATTTCCACTTCCAGTCATTCAATGCTCCCATGATCATAATTTCTGGCTCTTCACTCAGAATAGAAAAACTCCTATTAAAGAACACTTCTATATTTTGATCAGGTTTAACAACTTGCGGAAAAACAAATACTCGAATGCCTCCTATGAGATTTTCATTAGCCAGTCTCTGAATTTCCTGTCTCTTCGCATTTGCTTCCATCTTCAACTTCAATTTTAAAGAATTTTCCTTGGTTAACTTCTTTTCCATCTCAAAGAGTTTCACAGAGTTATCTAGGACATCTGATACTGTTTCACTTGGTTCACTCTCCTCTTCTTTCTCTTGTAATCCATTGTCTATCCCACTTAACCCACCAATACCTATTGGTGCAGTACTTTTAACAACAGACGTAGCCTTGCTTGTCAAAGAGATTTTACTTTCTGCATCATTCTCAATATTTTGTGAAAGTTGAGCAGACAAATCCTCCTCATCCCCTACCTTCAACTTAAGTGCTGCCTGTTTGGGCTCTATGTGTGTACTAGATTTTAGCGTTGCAGAGCCCTCTTTCTCTTCATCTCGGCTCTGATCTTTTTTAGGGATACTTGTTCCTATAGGAACTTTGGGTTTGAATCCCTTTGATGAAGAGCTTTCAAATCTCGCTGTTGACAAATTCCTAGATCTCTTCCTTGATGAATCTACAAGGGTTCAGTTTCAGTTTAATCATGAAAAATAATGCATAGAAAACTAAAACTGCGAAAGATTAACGTGAAAACCACATGAATTAACCTGACTGATTTGCACAGGCAACAATTCTGAACGACGTCCCCGCTACACGGTGCCCTCTGAACCATAATGGAGACTGGTCCCATAAAGATAAAGCAAGATATGCAAAATAAGACACGTCAATCCCAATTCCAAATAGCGTAATGTTAACAAAGTGCAAGTCCTCAAGAACTGTGCTCTTATGGCACTGAAATTCATCGATTCCATCATGCATTTCCACAAATCTTTCAAAAAACATTACATAAACGCGACACCCTATCCTCCAAATAGATACAAAATGAATAGAATCCACTCAAGAAAGAAGCGATCCAACGACAAATACGAAGCTCTTTTGAATCAAGCACCATTACAACCAAAGAAACAGAAAACAAATTCAAAACACACAAACACAATGGTACCAACAAAAAATAAGATCCAAATTAGTGAAAACTACCAGTGTAGTAGAAGTAGTACACGACGGTCTATTCCCATGAAACAGTCTAAACTTCGAACTCCCCGCTTGTGCTTCACAGAAATTCCTCCTCCTCCTCCAACTCCCCGACACATGAGCCTGAAGCGCCACCTCCATTAGAAACGAATCAACCACCCCGTTTCCCACTCTTCTTCTTCCTCTTCTTCGATCAACTAAAAAATACGATCATCCAAACAAGCTTCAGATCGCACTCCCGATCAATCTCCCTCTAGAATCGCGCAAATGAATCATAATTAAAGGGAAAAAGAACAAAATCCCGATACGAGGAAAAGGACGAGAGTTTGAATAAGCACACACCATGAAAGGCTTCGCCGATAAACAGCAAAAAAATAAGGAAGCGACTTCGCTCACAGCCATCCGAAGCGGGTACCAATTATCAAACTCGAGATTATGGTCGGTTAGTCTGTGATTTTTCGTTGGAAAAAGGTGAATTAAATCAACGGTCAGAAATGGTCTGTGAGCTGATTGGATCGGAACGGGTTGCCACGTCGAATGGAGATCTGCCACGTCATTAAGATATTATTCTCTCTCTCATTATTAATTACGTGGAGATTTGATGGATTTTATTTTCGCGCTTAAATAAATATAAAAATAAAATGGAATAATTCTGCTTTTATTTCGCTCCTTTTTGTTGCACTCTGACTGGGTGCTTTCTTTCAACTAAATTAGTTAATTGTTTATTATTTTCTCTTTTTTTTTTTCACGTCATTTAAATAAATATAATTTAATTTTAAAAACAAATTATTCCACAAATAGTAATTTTTTTTATATTTTTCAATTCGTTTTTTTTTATCTCTAATTATCCATTATATACTATTTTTAGTCTATCATTAATAATAGACGTTTATCCCTCAATTATAATGGAAATTTAAAATTATATCATATTTACAAATATTCTTATTATTTTGGATTAATTCGGATTACCCAACTAAAAATAACATTGAAACACATAGTTATCTGATCACTTTCGCAACATTGTGTAAAATGTACATTTGTATATAAATATTTAAATAGGCACAATTTCTTTTTTTTTTTAAGTATGGAAATGAAATTTACCGCTCATTAAAATTTCTAAATTTCTTTAATTGAATTTCAAAAAGAATAATATTTATTTTTCTCCCTTTTTTTCCTATCATATAATTTCTATAATTTCAAAAATCTTAGATGATGTAATAAAACTTATATATATATAAAAAATCGAGAACAGACAAATTCAGATCATCTTTATCTAATGAGACGAAATCACTATCACTCTCTCCTACATTCCCCAATCACTAGGAGGCTTTCCCAGATCAGACAAATTCAGATCTCGATTGCACTCTCGTCACCAACGAGTGGATAGGGAGCTAAGAAACGAACAAAGACTTACAATATGTTCTAACATTCCATAATTGAATGATATCAAGAAAGAATATATAGAGATATACCAAAAAAAAAAAAAAAAAAACCAACAAAAATTTCCAGTCAATGCATTAGCACCAGCAATAATCTCCAAATTTCTCCGGTAATCTTATCTTGGCGTTGTCTATTATACACAATCGACAAAGTCCTCTTCAGCTCAGAAGCATTATCCGTGGCACTAGCTGCGAGCTCACTCGCCAGCGACTCTTGCAGAGACCTCAAAATCTGGCTGTTCAAATACAGAGGCAATAAAGCATCCAAGATCTGAACTGGATCCTGCTCGAACTCCAAACTCGGTGAGAAATCCGTGGTGCTTGTCCTCACTGAATCCCTTTCCACTGTCAATTTCCCTTCCTTTGTTGTTAATCTGAAGAACTCATCCTCTGCCGCATCCACACATATTCCGTTCACATCACAGATCTCACCCTTTGGCGACAGAGGAAGAAGGGTATGAATTACAGGGTCGGATTTGACTAATGACACGAATTTTGTGTATAAAAGCTCTACTTTATCGACTTCCTCGCTTACAAATAAGGAAAAAACATCAGCTATGGCTTGAGCTTCTTTGGCTGTCGGAAGAGTGCCGCCTTCGAGGAATTTATCCACCGGAATGTACGGCCGGCGGAGGAAATAAGTGTTACCCTTTTTCCCAACGCTGATTACAGTGTAGTCAAGATCCAATTCCGAGATTCCGAAATTCTGGCTTCGGCTTTCTTGATGATGGAATTGTTGAAGCCACCACAGAGGCCGCGGTCGCCGGTGACAACAACCAATGCGACTTTCTTGACGGGTCTAACTTTGGTTAGAGGAGTGTCAATGTCCTCTGCTTGGAGTTGTTCATTGATGTTGTAAAGGACCTCGACCAAGGCCTCTGAGAAGGGTCTTCCATTACGACAGCTTCTTGAGCTCTGCGGACTTTGGCAGCTGCGACAAGCTTCATGGCTTCAGTGATCTTTTGGGTGTTCTTGACGGAATCGATACGGTCTCGGAGCTCCCGAAGGCAGCAGTGGACTGGGGAAACTGATAATGAACGAGCTGGGTAGCTCTGGGAAGGGAGCTGAAAAGGGAGGATGCTTCAGAGACGGTGGGTTTTGGGGACACCAACATTGTGAGGTTTGAGCAGGACATGGTTTAGCTGCCGGGGAGGGAGCTGAGGTCTGGCTTGGCGGAGATGAGGGGCTGCAAAGAAGGTTTCGATTTATTGTTGGGGTAAAGACTTATCTTCATTCATTGGCTATGGTGGTTCTGGTTCGCAAGAAACAAGTGAAGAACAAGTGGAGTAGAGAACTGAGGGAGGATGAGGTTTAAGGATGATGATTTGGGCAGTTGAGATGGCCGGAGTCAAGTTTTTGATTCACTTAGTAATGGTGGGTCCGTGGTAAACCCATGGTTCTGGACAACAACTACTAACAGAAACATTCTTGACAACAAGGGGTTGCTGATAGTGGATCACCAACAGGCCAAAGAAAAGAGAACAAAGCCATACGTGAAGAAAATGGCCAAAAAGCAACACTATTTCTTCAAGGAACTCTCACGAGCCATTGCCATCCTTTCTGAGAACAACCCTCACCGGCAGAGGATGAGATCAGGAAGCACTGCAATATTGCCAACAAGCTACACTGAATTATAGGCTAAAGTAGAACCAAGCCCGCTCTAGATGCATGTCTAAACTTTGAGCATTTATCCTAACGGTAAGAGCCTAATCAATGCTAGGCTGCTTTCTCATTTAGGAAATCAACTGCAAGAAAGTATAAGAATACCTAAAACTGATGATTTTCATCTTGATTTGAAAAAGAACTTATCAAAATGAGTGGAAGTTCATTAAAAGGAATGAAAATGCTACAAATAAACTTGGTTATCAGCTTACTCACTTTCAAAGAGAGACAAAAGTAAGGGAATAACTGATGTGGAACCTTAAAATAAAGCAGTATATTATAAAGGAGACGGGTTACCATTTACTGCTTGTCGTTGTGTCTTAATCTTTACTGCTTGAAGTAGTGTCAGAATTACTATCCGTTTCTTCTGATATATCCTCATTCTTTGCATCTTCCATAGCTTTTGGCGTGAAGGGGCTATAGGGAAAGCTGCAATGAGGCTGATTGAAGGAGATAAGATTGCCACTATATGGAAAAGAATGATATGTATAAGCTGAAGGGTAGAGCCCTGGATTGAATGAGTTTGGAGGCGGCCAATACATCAGAGGAACGAACACGTTTGGTGGGAAATAATTAAGGGGGTTTTGGTTTTGGTAGGAGGCCACAGCACATGAAGAAATTGGATGGTTGTTATCAATTGGTGGCTGAGATGGAGATGGCAGTGACTGAAATGCTGCCATAGCACGAGTTTGGATCGAAGTATACCCTACTGATCCAAATTTTGTTGAAGATGATGCCAAATGGGGTGCTGTTTTATCTGAAGAACCAGGCTGTTCGCTTGTGCTAGTTTGTTTTTTCCCCCTTGATTTTGTTGAAATGGTATTTCCAGCTAGCCGCTTCTGAACAAATTTGTCATCCTGTGTTCAACAAATTGTGTCAAGGTCTTAAATTCATGATGCAATTGTAGAATCAGAGCGTCTGAATCACCTCAATGAACATGAGTTCAGCGACTCTGAGTTGAGGGGATATGATCTTACATTACTGTCGGCTGTCGAGCGTGCAAGAAATAGCTCCTCACCTACGGCATCCTTGTCTGTCCTGCAAAATAAAGTTCATAGCTGAAGTGCAGCATTGTAGCTATAAATTATGAGTGAAAGTTCATAAAATGCTTCTTTGTTCTTTTTCCTGCTACTTCTATTGCAATAGCAATACCTGTAGTATTTCTGAAGCAAGTCCAAATTACGGTATTTGGTTTCTTTGCGGACAAGGTCATCTGGAAAACCAGCCATGAAGAGAAGGGTAATGCCCAATGCTTTGAAGAAAAAGCTCCCACTGCGAGGATTAGCCAGCATAGCCCTCCTGCACATGAGTGGCCCAAAAGACTTGAGCTTGTTTCTTCCCATTCGCTGTCTCACATACCTGTGCATAATCAGTGACAATCTTCAAGTTAATCAACAGCTATGAACACAGCTACTAAAGGAACCTTTTTTTCTCATGTAATAGTTTAAGCTCATCGCCAATAGATATTGTCCGTTTTGGCTCGATTAAGTATCATCGTCAGCCTCACGGTTTTAAAACGCGTCTACTAGGAAGAAGTTTCCACACCCTTATAAGGAATGCTTCGTTCCCCTCTTCACCCTCCTTGGGGACCTAGCGTCCTCGCTACACCACCTGGTGTCTGCGTCTGATACCATTTGTATCAACCCAAGCCCACCGCTAATAGATATTATCCTCTTTGGCCCATTATGTATCGCCGTCAGCCTCACGATTTTAAACGCATCTACTAAAAAGAGGTTTCCACACCCTTGTAAAGAATGTTTTGTTCCTCTCTCCAACCAATGTGAGATCTTAGAGCTCATGTCAATATGTTTTACATAAAATTCAAACAACGACCAGTGCTCTTCTCACAAAATGATCATCTTACTCGTTCTGCGGAAGATTTCTCGTCCTGCCACCATATTTGATGCAGAGAAATAAACAAGAAGGACAGTTAACATCTAATGGTCGCATTGCTTTCTCTTCTTCAAGTATTTGAACAGGACATAGTGTTGGGTGGTGCCTGTTGGGATACAAAATCTTCCTCCTCACACCAGGATTTTCATACAACACATGCTCCTAATATCAAACAAACTACATTTTAGCTGCTTACACAAAGTTAACGTCGTAACGAGGCGAAACACAAGATATTTCGGAACATACAACAATAAATCTTGAGCTGCTTACCCCAGGATTTTGAGGAGAAATGAATGGCTCTCCTTTCCTTATAATACTGAAATGATTGAAGTCTAACTCATACATCTCTTCACAACCATGCCTTATACCAAGACATGAAAACACTATTATTTTCCTCATGGTATGAGACTGGGCGTTTCTCTGCAGCAAAGCTTCTGATTCAATAATTCCCCTCACTTCTTTAGGACAGAACGCTAACTTTGGAGGTTTTCTTTGCAATAATACACTTCCAAATCCTACATCATTCCCAGATCCCAGGATGTTTCGTGTTCGATCATACAGTTCACTGTTTTCGGTTTCGTTCCTTTCACTTTTAGGCTCCAGTTTTTTTCCAGTTTCTTTAGTTTCTGTCTGATCATCTACAAATGTTGGCTTGTTTTCAGCACCAGATTGATTCTCCATGCGTTCCGTATTCGAATCATGATATATATCTTGTTTAACACCATTGACACTCCTTGAATTCCCATTAGTTTCCCAATCCTTGATGTCAAAAGGGATTTCACTCTCCTCATGATAATAATCATTTTCATTATCAGTTTCGTCTGAATCAACACAATCTACAGTATTATCACATTCCTTTAACTTTTCATAATGCACAAACTGTGTCTCATCCATAGTCATCCAACTAACCAATCGATCCTCTAGATTTACCTCTTTTGGGGACAAAAACTGAGTTCCATCCTTCATTATTGCTTCCTCTTTGCTTCTTTTAAGCCTCTTGACGCTTCTCCGCTTGGAACAACTGCCCTGAAATGGAAGTGAAAATGGCCATTGAGCGCATGAAACAAAATGAGTGGAAAAAAAGAAGAACGAAATTAAAAATGAGAACTCATACTAGTTCATCAGCAAGTTCAGGATCCTTAACTCTTTCCTGTAACAATTTAGCTTCCAGAAACGATATTCTCTCCATTAACTTCGCATTTCTCTGTCTCTCTCTGTGTAACTCATCCGCCATTCGAGCAATAACATTCATATTCTCCCCTTTGGATTCTTGGTCTATTGCAGCACATAATGCCGACGGATTAACCAAACCAGTTGCACAAGCTTGAAGCTCCACCATCGACAAAAAAAAAAAAAAAAAAAAAAAAAAAAAAAAAAAAAAAAAAAAAAAAAAAAAAAAATCCCTAAAATGAACTAAAATGCTAAATCAAAGAAACCGATCTGCAAAAACCATCGAAATGATGGAGAAACGTCTCAAAAGATGAATTAAACTTCAAATAGAAGCAAAATGCATTAGAAATCAAGTGGATAAAGATGAATTTACACTATCTCAGATCATTCTAAAGAGGGAAAAGGGGGAAAATCAGTGGTAGTGATGAGTGATGAACCGCCTATGAATCGCCGATGAATCCTACGGGGTTTGATTTGCGGGAAATAAAAGAGCGAGCAGCGGCAGAGGGAAGTAAATGGCATGCAACAGCATGTGCAGTGCCATTATTCTCTCGTCACAAATTGCGTATCAAAATGCCAAAAATTCATTCGCTGCCTTCGAAAAGCAAAAGAGAAAACAAAACATCGCTACTTTCCACGCCTATTAATATAATACTTCATATTAAATTATATATCTTATTCTAAAGTTTTTATTAGAATAAGATATTAAATTTCATACCAATCTTATTGATGTTGATGTATTTTTGGTATTGTTCGATAAAATTTAACGATTTGTCAAAACATCAATCAATAAATGGGAATGTGGGTACAAGTGGTGCATGGCTGTCATGATCTTGTCATCATCATCAGCTCGTGCATAAAGTGTTGGGTTAAGTCTTGCAACGAGCATAACCCTTGTGTTTGGTAGCCAACCATTGAAGTTGGAACCCTGAACAGACTGTCGGTGATAGGTGAGGATGACGTCAAGTCATCATGCCCCTTAAGCCCTAGCCAACACATGTGTGACAGTGGTGGGGACAAAGGGTCATGATCCTACGAGAGTGAGCTAACTCCAAAACCTCATCCATAGAGTCTACCAACCCAACCCAACCTATATGATTTAAATTTTTTTTTTGTCGGAATAATTAAATTAAATCTAAAAAAATGTTTTTATCAAGGAAGAATATGTTCTTTGTGTAAGAGTTGTGGTTACCATTATATATTTTTTATTTATGTGAATTAAATAAGGTTTTTAAATTAAACTAAAAGAATTGGCAAACAGCTGTAATTGCAAGGGTTTTCTTATTGGAGGCAGCTCTTATGTCTAACTTCAATGTCCTTTTCTTGGATTCTTATTTTTACTTATAATATTATTAATTTTCAAATTTATCACTCAAATATTTTTTAAATGTTAAAAGATATTAATTATAATATTCAAACAAATACGATAACTAAAAAGACTTAAAATAATTGGAAATCATTTATATCATAAGCTTGGTGAAATCCTACGACTATAAAGAGGAACGAAACATTAATCGTGTGGAAACTTCTTTCTAGCAAACGTGTTTTAGAAACCTTATAGCAACTCGTAACAGACCATATCGAACAATATTTGCTAGCAATGAGTTTGGGTTGTTACAAAGATACCTCTCCTTTCTGAGCGACTCAATCATAAGAAGTTCATAGTTATATGAGTAAACAATTTTTTTTTTAAATAATATTTGATATTTTAAATATTAATTTAATTTTATATCTAATAATATCTAATATAATTTTTTTAATAAGGTATTTATTAAATATAAAATAAAAGTAATTTTAAAAATTACTATGTTCAATACTCGACTTGTATTTTGAAAAAAAAAATGTAAGATTTAAAAATTAAAGAAATTAGCATTTATGAATTTAATTTCAAAATTTAATACAAAATTCATTTAAAAAGTTTAATGGTAAGTAGTTATATAAATTTTCACAAATATAGAAATAAAAAAAAACTAATAAATACTTTTTTATTATTATTATTATTATTATTATGTGCGTTGAAAATAAGTACTTGAAACTATGAATAATAAAAAAAATGTGTTTTTTTTTTTTTTCATTTTATAAGTAAAATATATTAAACGTGTCAGAAGAAATAGCTTTTTACTTTTTGGAGCTCCAGAACAGACATGAAATAATTATAGAAATAATTATTAGAAATAATTATAGAAAAAATGTGTGCACACGTGCAAATATTAAAAGTAGTGGGGGCCGATGAAAAAAAAAAGAAGCTCACGTGCAATGCTTAATTTATTTATTTTTTTAGTTATTTTATTCTTTATTTATTTTTGTGTCAGGGGAATACTAAGCTTAACCTTGGATTCCTATTCCACCTCGGATGAAAAGACAAGGCTGTTCCTTGTGTATCTGAGTACGGTGGCTGTTTGGCATGGGTAGGATGGTACTTTCACTAACAAAATAGTTTTTAAAAGGAGATTAAAATTCCGTCTTAAACATGTATTTAATTTTCTATTACGGTTTACCATATGCATCATAACATTTGAGCATAAGAACATGATTTTAACAAATATTTTTACCGAATGAGACTTCTTTCGTGAAACAAATTGTCGCACTGATGGGTCAAGCAATTAAAAAAGAATCGATGGATTTTATTTCGAGAGCGATTCATCATTTCCGAGCATATCATACAACTCTCCGTTATAATAAGCTCTTTTGAAGTGTGCTTATATATGTATATATTTTAAATAAGGTTTTAAAAATAGAAAGAAAAATATTAAATTAATAATAAAACATTAAGCCTAACAAAATTAAAATAAAATAAAAAAGTGAATGACGACATGTCGTAGTCCAGTGATTGGGCCGGCCCACTATTGACCCAAGACAGCAGATTTTGCGCTCTCCTTAAACGCCCTTTAGCAAATTAGGGCAACAACGAAACCTTCTTGGTGCGATTCCGCCGCCTTGCTGCCGTTTAAAAACCGATGGCCTCCCCGTCCACCTCACAACCATCATCTTCCTCCTCGGCAAGTGTTTACGCAAATCCTTCTAGCTTCCTCTCGATGGAAGGCTGTGAGTTGTTTTTTTGACAATTTCTGGAACGATTTATCTGATTTTGCTTGAGTTGTTTCAAATTTTGTACCGATTTGATGCTTCATCATCTGGCGAATGTGGATTCAATCCGTTCCCATTTGACTCGTTCCCTTGAAGCAACATCGATTGTGTTACATCCTGTTTCAATAAATTCTCTTCCAGTTCATTACTATTTGAGATTGCGGGAGTAACTACATGATTTTCCATTTTTAACTTCGATCTTGATGCATTTTGTTTATCTCCACACCTGTTGAAATGAATTGCGATTCGGAGTGGTGTTTAAGCAGTGATGAGCCTAACAGACCTGTAATGATTTGCGAATATGATCGCAATGCATTATGAACATCTAAGGGACTGAGTTTATTCACTATACTCCGATTACGAAAATTCTTTGACTCACCTTTTCAAATCTGGAAATCAATCCAGCTTTCAATTCGCTGAAGCAGGATCCAATCACAGATAAGCGTGCCTTTTCTACTGCTATCTTTCTCCCTATCCTATAAGATTTTTGCTATTAATTTGGTATCGTTCTTTCAACGCTTGATTCGAAGCAACTCCAGGAAAAACCATAGAAATTTCTGCATCTTGCTCTCCATATTAATGGATCATATGGAATTTTAGCTTTTTCTATCTCTATCTAATCCGTTTTTTCTTTCAATACTGAATTCAATCTTGTTCAACAATCAACATAAACCCTAATTCGATTCATTTGAGTTCATCTTGACTCGACGAAACACACCAAAAGTAGACATTAAATTGGTATGGGCTTAATGTCGGGGCGAAAAGACGGGTGATGGATAGCCCATGGGTCTCAATCACGTTGAAATCACAAAAAAGCCCATGAAAGGAGCCAGTTTTGGTTAATTGCAGCTAAGGTGGGATGTGCTGTCCACGTGTCACCATCTACAGTAGCCATCCATTAAAAGCATTTTTGTTTTGTTCTTCTCTAGTCTCTCGTGGATAATGTCCGTTTTACCCTTGACTCATTTCCAAAACAAAAATGTCGTTTTTAATTATTATAAAAATATATTATCTGATTTAAAATTATTTATTTGAAGCTAAGAAATAATATAATATTGGAAGCGTAGAGTTTGACTGAAGAAGAATTATGTTTGGGCTCACTCGGACCGGTCGACTCGGTTTTCGCGAGTCCACTCGTCCGAATCACTGCCCAAACCACCCCAATAAGGTAAAAATATTAAATCCATTTAACCATCGAACCCGGTCTGACTCCAAACCGCATCCCGAACCCTTCTCATATCTCTCCCTTTCAGAGTCCTCCCCACGCCCTCCAAAACTGACGTCGCCGCCGCAGTATTCCGGCTCCTCGCGTATTCCCTCGCCAAATACTCGTGCGGCGGCACCATATCCGCCTCATCGTTGTTGTAGTAACCTCCTCCGTCCGTCTCCGGTAGTGACTCCACCGATTCCGCCCTCAGAATCTTGCTCCAGTCCGGCACGTTCATCGGAGCCGATGCCGCTATGTGCCGTCCACGTGCCGTCCTGTTGGAGTCTTGAAAAGCAATCGAAACTCCGCCGACGTTTGGTTCATCAAGCGGCGTTGATCTCCGGCGATTTCTTACTGTCATGCTCTCATCCTCACCGTTGGTTGAATTGCTGTTGTCAATCATCGCCCACACATCTTCTTCACGAAACTCCGATGATTCATCTCCTTTATTGGAGCCTTGACCGTATCCATTTCCATAGCTCCCGAGAAACCGCTCGCTCCTGTTTATACCTAACTTCCGGCCTTTCGCCATCCGCCTCCCACAATTCCGACGACTCTTCGGCGACGTTAGAGCATTTTTTTAGTCAAAACACTGCGAAAATTAGCCCACAGGAAGGTGAGTTTTGGTTCGCGGATTGGAGAATTATTTATATAGCGTTTTTTTTTCGTCACTTGAATTGCATGTGAATTTGATATTCATTTCCGTTTTCATTTCGAGTTTATTTATAAAAAAGAATTATAATTTTATAAGAATTGTTTTACTAAATTTTATTAAATAATTTAGGTTAAATAAATTTTAAATAATTTTCATTTGACTTAAATCTATTTTTGAAGGTTTAAAATTTAATTTTACTGAACACTTTTTAATTTTCATATGATAATTGATTTTTCAAAAAAATAATATTGTCCGCAATTATTTTAAATGAGAA